CTGGTGGTTGCATTGAATTTCTCTGCAATAGTTGCAGTGATCAGCTGGTTGCCCAGTTCTTTCAGTCAGATTGACAGGGCTTCAATAGTTATTTCCATATGATTTCTAGACTAATTGCAAACACACTGCAAACAATCTCAGTCAGCTGAGTCGGTGAGCGCATCTCATCTGTGATGCGTCTCTGTGGAATAGGGGACTTGTTTCAGCTGGTTGGTTGCCATCTGACTGTATTTTGGTTATAGTTCTATGTAAAAACAGATCCATAAACAGTGTCATTGTAGAGGAATTTTTGAATATTTGTTAAAACCTATGACGTTCTGGCTAGACTCTGGAACCTAAGTAATAAATGTGAATTTCTGTGGATGTAGATGGAAACAGACTGCATGTAACTGCCAATTCGAACACATTTAGTTTCAGTTTACACTCAGTTTCCTCCCTTCACCCTCAACCAGCTTTGGCAGATCTACGCACCTCTCTGAGCCTGTGTATGTTGGAGGTTTCTTCCTGTTAAAAGGGAGTTTTTCCTTCCCACTGTTGCCAAGCGATTGCTCATAGGAGTTTTCTGATTTTTGGGGTTCTCTGTATTATTGTAGGGTCTTTATGTTGCAATATAAATCGTCTTAAGGTGACTATTGTTGTTATTTGGTGCTATTAATAAAATTGAAGTGAATTGAAAATTGAATTAAACTAATTCCATCTAATTGCTGTCTTATCATGAACACCAAATTCACTTTAAGGGGGCCAACTATTATGAATGGCTGGCTTCTGTCTTCTAAATCATAATTTCAAAGGCAACAAGATGGCAGTTTCAATCTGTTGGTTAATTCTGGTTGTGTCACAGTCTCCTACCAGAGTATTCCCTAGTGTGGTTTAGCATAAGGAAACAAAACCACTCAAAGATGGCCTGCATACTAAATAAAATCATCCTTCAAAAAAACAGACAGGTGCAATCAAACATTGAAGGTTAAGTGACAAATTCAAATTCATAGAGGAAAATAAGGGAAACGTCTTTCTGAAATGAAATGAAGACAGAAAAGAAAGTTACTCTTGTAGAAATATAAATGATAAGAGTATAAAATGCTTTGGGTGATATAAACAGGAGGAATGCTAGATTCAGTCTGTCAAGCTATGGGCTATAGAGATGTCCATTTTAGTTTACCCTATATTTACTTCACTTTTGAAAGTTTGCCAAATTAGCTTCTAGCAGTTCTAGTTTGCAGTGAATCCAGATCCAGAAAACTATAACTGGATTATTTTCAAAACTGATGATTCTCAGGCGCATCCTGGAGTCAAAAGCATCATCCTTTTTTGTGTGTTTTTTTGATTACTTACATTTATTTGCAGCTAGCTCTGAGGTCAGCATCCTTAGAAAGATCTATTTAAACTGAGTTTAAAAATGTCTACCTATTGAGATATGACGGAGTTAGACTTTAAGAATAGTAAGTTTGGAAGGTTGGACTACAAATAAAGGCTGCACATTTTTATCTTTATCTGTACTACACCTTAGTACCAAGTGTTTACAATGTAGCTATTAATGTATAGACAGTTGTAACTGGATTTTCAAACATGAAAGAAAACTTAAAAACATTGGAATTCTACCGCAAATTCCTCAGAAGGACGAGAGATGTCTTCATGCAAAGATTTATGGATGTAATGCAAACATATTTGGGCCATGTGGCTTTGCCTCATTTATCTTTTTTTGTTTGCTTTTTGGACCTTTGGGGTTTTAGTAAACTCAAGGTACCCTACACTGTAGCATCATCATAGACTCTAGTTGGGGTAAAAACTGTTGTTTGAGGACTGGGGCCTGGTGGTTAGCAAACAGTCTGCATAGCCTTAGGTCCTGCATATATATATAGCACTCAGCCTCAATACTGATGACCCAAATCACACACACCACAGATAAATCATACACTAGAGGCTGTGGCCGAATTTTAATCTGGGTCTTTAGAACAATGAAGGAAGTGTGCATCTTTCCATTCACTTCATTACGTTGTATGTGCAACCCATATGTCATCAATGTGCACTAACATTTATAGTACTGTACGCTCCTTGGATTCGTCTCTGTGTGTGTGTGTATGTGTATGTATGTATGTGTGTGTATGTGTGTGTGTGTGCCGTCATTAGCACCCCATTAGCCGCAGCATGTACCTTATCGTTAACACCTTCTCCATACCTGAATAGTCCATTATGCTTCAGTGTGACAAGAGGTCCATTTATAAACATTGTGTTGGCACAAAAAGGGGCTTTAGAAGCTCGTCTCTCACAGGAAAAAAAAATAGTTTTTTATAAAAACAAACTTGATAGCAGAGTGTGCACACTTTAGTGGAAACTATGACCGAGCATACAGACATGTGGGAGACATTGGGAATTGACAATGCCAGTGGCAAAGTAGCTTAATGAATCCAAAGTGGCCTAATAGCTCCTCTCGCACAATTTATTTCTTTCAGACCGAAACCAGATTAAAAAAAGAAAGAACATCCATGTCTAAATTGTGCTTTTTTTGTTTGTTTATTTCTAAAACCTGAGCTGAAATGAGAAATAGTCAGTATAAGGTGTGTAAATTGGTGCACTCAGAACAAGATGGCCTATTTACCTGGTTCACTAACGCACTTTCTGTCTTTTGTCCACTGCTGCTGTGTCCTCTTTCTTTAGAGAAAGTGCATTACTGTTCAATCCCCTGAAACCTACCTGCAGTGGTTTGGATTGCATACTCGCAGCAGAGACATATTCATATTCAAATAACAAACTCTTTGTTTTTTTACTGTTCTTAAACTTTTCTTTTATTATTGGGTATGTTTCGGTTAATGGCTGTAGTTAAGTATGAGGTTTGAGCATAGTTTGCATCCAAATGACAGAGCTTCTGCAAAGTGAAACCAATGCAGGAGTGCCTTCATTCTGCATTGTTCTTTAACAGAGGGTGACTCCTCTGGTTGCAACTCATTTATTCTGTAAATTAGGGTTTCATCTAGAGTGAAATAGATGAGAAAGTAGGGCATGTTTTACTATGAAACTGCAACATCCCTCAGTTTTGGTCAGATATGCCACTTGATCGTCATGTCTAGTTTCAAACACCAAGATGGCAACTAATTTGTTATGTCCATCTAAAAAGCCAAGAGTATGTGCAGGCCAGTGGACAGTGGAGGAGTCTTCAGCTCTGCTTCAACAATCCACCCCCACATGTTCTGCCATGTCACCTATCCAGAGTTCAGTCCAGACATCCATTTATGGTTTTCCAAACCAGTGTTTGTAAGTCCTCTAAGGAAGCTAACCACAAATTAACTCTTTATGGCTCCAGTTTTCAACTTCTTAAAACCTCTGCACCACCAAAATTGATCTTTATAAATATAAATTAAACAAGTCTAGACTCCCAAAGCTCCTCTATATCATCATCGTTATAACAGCTTAACAGTGCATAACCCTTTCCTTCTGACAGTAGTAGTGAATTACATACAACATAACAAGATAGTAGTTGCATAAACAATTTGGCTTTTTAAATATAGATTTGATGATTTTTATTTTTTTTAATGCTATAAAGTGATGGAGCATTGATATTTGTCGTGCTGCAGAAAGTCAGTAATTGCCAATTGCCAATTGGTAATGGGTTAATTGAGCCAAAAAAACAGACATTCTGTTTTGAGCTTCATAAATATGATACTTTGCCACTTTTCTCTGCTGCTTGTCCTGGCAAAATGATTTGGTTTTAGATCTGGTGGATTTAATTACCAGCAAGCCTTCAAGCTGTACCACTATCTAACAAGCCAGGACACATACAAGCCTACTGGCTGCCAACAAGAAGAAAGGACTGGTGCTGATTTTGATTCGTTCAGTAACGAAGAGATGGAGACTGAGGCAGGGAAATGAGGACTGGCTTATTAAGATTTGAAAAGCACTCCGAGACAGATGGCAACATGTGGTCAGTGTATCTTACCATTTCTGATATTCAACAAACAAAACAATCAATTCACCTTTGAAGAATAATCAATAAAGTGGAAAAGTTGTGAGTACAGTTGTGAGCCTGTACCAAAGATGAAGCCACCACATCACAACAAAACTCTTCTTTTTGTTCTTCTTTTTCCTTATTTGCTCCAAACAAACACAACAAAAAGGAAAAACAACATACTCTCCTTACAAATTTGTAAGGTAATAACTACTTTCATTGTCGTAAAGTTAACAGGTATGTACAGAGTGGGGGCACGGGGTGGCACCAGCCCCAGGGTACTTTTTCTCCCACTACATTTTAGATGTAAACATTGTACTTTGTATTCCAATTTACTTTGAAGCTTTTTAAAAAAAAAAAAAAAAACATTTTTAATTAGATCTTGTGTATATAAATAAATACAAGATTAACATGAGGTTGACTGCATAAAAATTAGCACATTTTTGTGGGTCTCCTGCAATACTTGTGTTCCACTCTACTATATTGATTCCATTATAGTCCACTGTTAGGTGATGTTCTAATTTATCAAGATATTCAAGTTTTAAGGCAAGGCGTTATAATTATATGTAGTTTTCATGAAATAAAAATGATAAACATATAAATTAATAAAAGTACATAAAATAGGTCATTTTAGCCCATTGGTAGGTGGTTGCTATGAGATAAAGATAAAGAACCTTCAGGGACATAAAATCTACCTGTGTGCCAGTTTTGGTTGTTCAGCTTCTGATTGTATGGCAAATGTATTGATACCAAGTAATCAATTGTGTTTAAATAAATATAATGTATGCGATTCTACGATTCTTAAAAAGGGTCATTTGATTACTTTTAATTTTACATATTAAACATAACACTACATATATTTTGATCTTAAAAACTGTTGTTAGTTTCCCACTTTGCAAAATATTTTTTCCAATGTAAAACAATTTCCTGTCTCTTGAGTCTAGTTTGTGGCGTGTCTCCCTCCCCTCCCCGCAACAATACTCCTGTCCATCTCCTCTGCACATCATCTAATGCTGCAGGAACATTATAAGACATACTGCTGTGTTATCTTTCCCCCCAGGTCTCCCTTTGCAGCAGTGGCAGACTACTCAGTAACCCGAAATAATGTCATTCAGCTCTGCCTGGAGCTCACCACCATTGTACAGCAGGTGTGTGGAATTGTTTGTGTGTGTGTTTTGAAGGCTTATAGCTCTTATTCCCCGCCACTTGAAGTGTGCGGCAGAGGGTAGCTGCTGTGCCATATCCCCAAAGAGCGGTGTGTCTGTGTGGGTGTGATGCAGCAGCCTCAGCCTCTGCATCCTTGAGCGAGAGTCAATTCTTTGCTATTTATGTCCTTTACAGTCTGTCTTATGTATGACTGGTGTGTGTATATAAATAAAAGATAAGTGTGTCTGTTTGTGTGGGCGTGTTTTTATCTGTCAAGGGTAGGGGTACAGTAATGTGAGCCCTAGACTGTATACGTAGGTAGTGTAGCAGCATGTGCAGCATGAGATGGTGAGTGTTTGCAAGACAGGATGTACTGCTTGCGCTACATTAAATTTCTCTCGTCCCGTAGGACTGTACGGTGTTTGAGACGGAGAACAAAATCCTTCATGTGGTGAGTCCTGCTTCCTCGGCCAGCTGTCGCTTATTTGCTTTGTGTTGATGGGCAGCATCCTGTTTTTCTTTTTTTTTTCTTTCCACATCCCCCTCATAACTGCTGATAAAACACACACACAAACACAGAAGCTTAAACTCCCTGCCAGAGACAATCAGCAACATCACTTTTTTTTCTTTTATGGAGCTATAGCCTGGACTCTCAGCTTAGCCAAGTGTAAAGACTTGAAACAGTAGGAAACTGCTAGTGAATCTCTGTAAAATGTTCAAAAGCATATTAACATCACCTGAAACAGTAACCTCCTGTGTGACTGTCGGCCACAGGATACCTACATAACAAAGTTCCTTTTTCCATATTTAAGGCACTACTCTTAAAGTAGTGATTAAGGAGCTTTTAAAGTTAAAGCTCCTTTAGTCTTATGACAATGGTCATGTTTAACCTAAAAAACACTCCATTGCCATAGAAAGCTTTATCTAGGTTTTGATTGCTAAAATTTCATTTAAACCTACTGTTTAAAAGAAAGTGCCCATTTGTAAACCTCTTTTTATACATCTACTGCTCAATAAAACCAAGAGCACACTTGAACAGCTTAAATTTTTGGTGCGAGTTTGAATCTAGCCCTCAACTGGCTAATTTGGCTTCCAAAGACTGTTATACAGTTTTTTTCATTGCATCTCATTTTCATTTATGTCATTTTTTCCCATCAGGTTCGCGTGTGTTGACTCCAGGAAACGCTCCTGCACAAATACATTTTAAATGACTACTGCTATACTCTAAGAATTTAGGTAATGAAGCATAACTTGTGAACTAATCCAGGCAGACAACCGGCAAAACATAATTAAAAACACCTAAATATTTGCATTTTGGTTTGTATGTCCCTCCTCTCATTTCAAAAACTGTCTTTCCAATCTACTTCCTACTTTTTGGGTATATTTTATGGACATGAATTGGTGCACTGCTAAATCTGAGGATGGTTAGATTAGTGGTTCCCATTACTTTAGCTGAACACAGTTATGTTACCAGAATTTCTCCTGCAGCGGCGGATGTAGAGGGAGGGGCACACATACACATATTTTGGTGAGGATATTTATTGACATTAATTCATATTCAGTCATTTTATCCGAAGTTTGACCATCACAGCTAAGTGCATAACTTTTGTACCGACTCTCATTTAAAATTCTAAATTTGAGAGTAAAACCAAGCCTCAAACAGGTCCTGTGTTTTTGCACAATGCTATGTTAAATAATCTTAACTAATAGTTCTTACAAGAATCTTAATATATTGTTTGCCCCAACATGTAAAATATGTAAAATGAAAAACTGAAGACTTGAAGTGACTAAAATAGTAACAAAAAAAATGTAATGGAAGAAAAAAAAATCTCCTGTTTAATTTAAAGCAATTTAATGTTTTGTTATTTAAAGTTGATTCGTATGTTTCAGAAGTACAGCTTGTTGTATTTTTATGGGAAGAACAAGGCTTAGTTGAGCTTTAGTTCAGTCAAGCTGCCAGCTGCCTCCTGGCTTCAGCTTCATCCTTAATACTGCATTTACACGACACTGGCAGAATGAAAATAACACTGTTCTGACTCAAGTCCAACTGTAAATATACTGTGAGCTTTGGAGTCACATAATTAGAGAAATTTAAATGATCTACTCTTTCTGAATCTAATACTCTGAATGAGCTCAATTGATTGTTTTGATGTTGATACTGAATTTAACTACAGTATTAGAGATTTGCAGTCAGTTCTCATCATGATATGACTGAAATTCAGAAATTCCTTATCTTTTGAATTTAGATGTTAAGAATCTTTTCAAACTCTAAACACATACACATATTAGGTACATTTATAACTGCTTATTCATATAGTTATTATACAGCTATTATACACACACCACACCTACATGGATTGGGGCCAAATCATGGTTCAGTATCCTGCCCATGTAGTGGAGAAGTTCAGGATCAATCCACTGACCTTTTGATTGGCAAACAACCCATTCTACCACCTCAGCCAAAGCCAGCTGTATGCTCACTGAGTACAAATGAGAGTATGGGCAACAGATGTTGCCTGACCTGATGAGTCTTGATTATGCTGCAGCATTCGAATGTTAGGGTCATAATTTGGCATGAACATAATCAAAGTATGGATTAATTCTGTCTTGTATCAGTGGTTCAGACCGGTGATGGTAGTGTATCTTTGTGAGGACATTCAAGTCTCTGCAGATGTTTCCAGCACCTTGAAGAATCAGTGCCTGTGGGAATCATGTAATTCACCTACTGTTAAAGTTTTACTGCTTCATTACCAAATTACTTTCTTCTTTCTTTGCAGTTGCTGTTGGGTATACTTGTCCCACCTTGGGCTTTGATTCTAAAATTTTGTTTGCCTTGCTCAGATGTTTAAAAATTACATTAATTACATTTGAAAATGTTAGCAGCATTTAGTATCTGCAAAGCAGCCCAATTACTGTTGATCAGCATGTCCCAAGATTGGATGGCAGCTAAAGTTTAATTGACCCTTTTCACAGCACACTTCTGATTTGTCAAACTCTGCTTCACTAATTGCTGGAACAGAGCCATTGTTAATGCTATTAGTTTCACCCGGGCTTTCCCTGTTATGACAAATTGACATTTCGGCTGTGAGGAAGACCGATGAGTCTGATTCATTTAGACATAATCAAGAGTACTCTGCTCCCAGCATGGCTGCCCTCAGTTAGATTAATGCAGCAAAATGACACACAAAGTATAAGATGGACACTCGTTTTTTTACAGATCAGATTCTTGGGGAGTGAAAATCCATAATATGATGCCTACCAAGAGTTCACCGTCTGTGGTTTCTTTTATAAATGTTCGTGGAAATGTTTGGCAGTCTCTGCCAGATATTATCCAAAACATCCGCTCAGCGCTTTTTCTTCCAGCTACTTTCTTTTTTTAGGGAAATCATGTCTGAAACTATTGACAACATTTTGAATGGAGTCTCATTGTATCTGCCAGGAAAAAAATGTTGCTCTTAAAGTTTGTTAAGATGCAATTTTTCAGTGTCGTGGGCAGCAAAATAATCCCCATTATATTTGGTTGGAGACAATTATTTCACAGATATCTAGAAAGTAAAGCCAAAGCTATCTTTGTGATTAATGTGAACCAACCTTGTAGTGGCTCTTTGCCCAAAATCAAACCTTAATCAGACTCAAAATCAGAAGGAGCACTGGAGCACTGCAGGGACATATTGCACGGGGGTAAAATAAATAAGCCTCTTTTTTTAGGTTTACTTATCTTCTGCAAGCAGGCAAGCGCATGAACAGAGAAATCATGGCTCTTGGTCTTTTTGTGCCTGCATTGCTCAAAGTTTTGTCCAATTTTCACAAAACAGAAAGAAAATAAGCTATATAATGTAAATAAGTAAATAGGAAAAGAAAATGCATATGCAACAAATCATTCTCACTTGGTTTAGAGCAGATCTGCAAAAATATCCACCTGTTTCTTTTCCTGGGTAAAGTTACAATAGAAAAAGCAACAGCAGGAGAAGCTGCTGAGGCACAAGGCTAAGAGGTTTCTTAGAAATATAGTCTAATTTTGACAGCTAGAAGACATGGCTTGTTCTTTGTTGTCTAAATAAAAGCCCTGTTTGTCCCTGTTCTATCCTCCTTTTCTGTAGTGTAAGACTCTGTCGGAGGTGTGCGAGCACATTGTGTGTGTGTCATCGGACCCGCTGGTTTCGCAGTCAGCCCACCTTGAGCTGGTTCACCTCACCAACATCAAGCCCTCTGAAGGCCTGGTAATCACTGTTTGTCTGGGTTTAACAGCCCAAGATCCACCCTTCTGTTTATTCATGCAATGTGTGAATCTTATTGTGTTAAGTCATACTGTGTCCGGCCTTTATATGCTCAGACAAAGAAGAAATACAAGCATTGTTTTCTTTTCTTTTCTTTCTTTTTCTTTTTTTGTAGAAATAATATACACAGTAAAACAGAATTTTGTTTAATTTTTGAAAAAAAAAGCGCAATTACTATGAACTACTCAAAATATTAATTGATTTGATATAACACATATGCTTGCATGCATGACAGACCTTCCATCATACTTGAGAGTAAAGAGCCACAAATGAGTCATTTCTAGTTCAATAATTAAACAAGCTATTTTATGCTTTTGGATTCAGTTGAAACTAACACCTGCTTGGTATACAACACTGAGTTTTTCATTTTTGCTACAATATTTTTACATGTTTCTGTGATATAGTGAACAACCCTAAGCATTTCATCAGTTTCCAAACTATGTTTTCATTCACCATACTGAAAACATTCTTAAAGATCATCTTCTCCAGGGGCAATTTGGGAATGATCTGTCCATTTTCCATCAAAGTGGCTTAGAGATCATGAAATTGAATTTTCTTTAAATCTTAATTCAATCAAAAATCTACAGTTTGCCTTTAAAAAGTGAGCGTACAAGCTGAAGTCCAGAAAGTGTGATCAACTTGGAGGACTGATCAGGCTGGAATAGCTCATCATCAGTCAGGATTTGGTCCAGAAGCTAATATCCAGTATGCTGCAGAGAACAGCAGATACAGTTATGAAGAAGAGTCAACTCTGTAAATACTGGCTCTTTGTGTGTGTTTGGTTTATTTGCATATAAAAGTCTTTAACAAACTTTGAACTGAATGTATATGATATGCACTACATCATAGAAAAATATAGAACAAATAATCTCCATAAATACTGATGTGACAAAAAACATTTTTTGTAATTGCCAAAACTGTTGGCCATGACTGTGATGGTCACTGAAAAACTACAAACCTGCAGTTAGCTTAGCTAGCATGACAAAACTTGTTAGCTTATCTTATGCTAGTTGTAGATAATGTGGAGGTTAGGTCTCCATGTTACCATATTTTCTAGTCATATCAGTAATTTTTTGGCAGATCAATGAGTGTTAATGATTGATCAGTCAAAGTGCTGTTCCACCTTCCTGTTATTTTCAGGTTTAACAATTTAACCGTTCACTTTGGAGAAAATGATTTGTCTCAGCTGCGAGTGGTCACAGTGTGTTGGCTACTAAGTGGAGTGTAGCCTAGCAAAGGGGTAACCTTGGCTTTTGGCTTTGGTTTATTTTATTTAAATTTTTAACATTTTCCTCTAGAGTAGAACAAAACAGAAATCACCAAACTATAAATCAGATTTAATTTAGATTATTGATAATATCTTAACCAGCCTAATGAGTTATTTACCTGGAATAGTTTTCACTTCACAAGTAGACCTCGTCAGAAGTTAACAGGTGAAACCTTTTGTTTCTTTATGAGATCATAATTTACTGCCTGAAGACGTACTGTTGGTATGCATTAAATCTGTGATATTCAACTTCAAAGTGGGTAAAAATCTTTACTCTAAGACATAAAGATCAGTCAGACCAGAAAGTTTTGAAATTTTGAAAGTTTAAAGTGCAAGTTTCAAGTCACAAAAATTGTTAAACAATATGATCCAACTGGCACCACTCCAGGAAAAAAAGGGGAAGTTCTTCAGAGTTACCAGCCTCAGAAATCACTAGTTAATGGCACCTTATTACTGCCCACATCAATACTTCCTCGGGTTCAAACATCTCAGTCTTAGAAGGAAACCATAACTGAGGGGAACCATAAGTGTAGTTACTAGTATAGATCTTCGTATCATATTCCCAGCAAGAAAGCAGAGACACATACTGTGGGTGTGCATTATGTGTTCCTGCTCGGTCTGGAAACACAAAGAATGGACATAATATCAGTGGAAATCTGGAGTATAGTCTCATATTTTTGAGGCACATAAAGGGAGAATATCTGCATATGGTTTTCCACTGTGATGCATGGAGTTGTAGCAGTGAAGGCGTGTGGGGAGCTTTGCTGGCAACGCTGTTGGAGATTAATTCAGAATTCAAGGACATGCTCTTATCCACCACGGCTACTACAGCATCCTGCTGCGACACACCTTCCCATCTGGTTTGGGCTCAGATGCTTGATTTATTTATTTTTTTTAGCATGACAAAACTAGAATAAACTTTCTGTTTCTGTGAGAGCTGTTTTTAATATTACAACTCATAAATCAGTGTGTATTTCCAAATATTTACTAGTATCATAGAGCACTTACCTTTTTTCTCCATTCCTTTGTCAATTAGGGAATGTACATAAAGTCAACCTACGATGGACTCCATGTTATCACAGGAACTACAGAAGGGGTGAGAGGTTTATTAATATCCCACTTTTCACAAATTGACCTAGTGAACTGCAGACTTCCCCTAAAACACCAGTTATTGTTCAGATTATCTGCAAATCTGAAATTTGTATTTATAACATCAGAATATCAGTGACTCTGGAAGACTTTCCCTTGTTGCTTTATTGCAGCTTATTTAAGTAGGGTTTGCTGAGAAACCTCAGCAGTGCCCATGGATCGATAGATCAATTCATAGTCGTCTGTTTGCCTTCTCTTTCTCTGGCTCCTGTGCCTCTGTAGTCTCCGGCTGACCGCTGTAAGAAGATCCATGCAGGAGATGAAGTCATTCAAGTCAATCATCAGACCGTGGTGAGTTTTTGTTGGTGTGTTTGTGGGTGTGTGTTCTCTTACTGAGTACCCAGTTTTTTGTGTTTACGCAGTAAACCATTAAATCTTATTTGATTCTTTGTATATACAAAAACTCATTCAAACAATAATAGAATTGGATTTTTTTGTGATGTCATGCTAACTTTTGGTTCTTGTGATATTATTAGGCGATCGTGGCTCAAGAGTTGGGAGTTCGCCTTGTAATCGGAAGGTTGCCGGTTCGAGCCCCAGCTTGGACAGTCTCGGTCGTTGTGTCCTTGGGCAAGACACTTCACCCGTTGCCTACTGGTGGTGGTCAGAGGGCCCGGTGGCGCCAGTGTTCGGCAGCCTCGCCTCTGTCAGTGCACCCCAGGGTGGCTGTGGCTACAAAGTAGCTTGCCATCACCAGTGTGTGATTGTGTGTGTGAATGGGTGGATGACTGGATATGTAAAGCGCTTTGGAGTCCTTAGGGACTAGTAAGGCGCTATATAAATACAGGCCATTTACCATTTATTACATTTGGGTGCTGTTTTGATTTTACTGAAATTCTAGTCTCCCCACTGTTTCTCTGTTTTCACCCCCCTCTCTTGTCTGTGTGCTGTGGCTTTTTTAGGCTTTTCATTGACACTCTTGCGAATGACGTCGTATGACAAAATTGACATTACATCTGCTGCTAATATGACCCTAAAAAAAGATTTAGCGCAAGTAGTTCTCTACATAATATAATTTTAAAATGGTTCCAAAAAATAAAAAAAACTAAACACTAAAAATTTCAAGAAAAGAGACCGCTTTCATGATTTGAAATAAATTTTAAGAAAAGTAAGAAAAGCGGGATCGCCTTCAAACTTCCCAACAATATACTAGGCCATAGCTTGAGTGAGTAGATAGCTTGGCTCAACATAGGTCAGGTTATAGGTCAAAGGTCAGACAGCACGTTGCTCATGAAAGCCTGTTGGAATAATTGCACTTTCTGAATGCTCTTATTAGATTTTAATAAGTTTTCTTTTTGGTTTTTGGACTTTGCTAAGTCCTCACTTCTTACACTGGACCCTGACAATAAATAAGCCTTTGAAGCTGATGAGATAGTATTTATGTAATACAATTGGATGAAATAACACAAAAGAGATAATGTGATGCTCATGTGTCATGAGAAATAAACAGCTGATGGTCAGATGATCAGCTCTGGATGAGATATATAGAATTCTGGCATTTCTCACCTCAGTGTTTTTTGTTCTTACAAAAATCTGCTGTTTTGGTAAGGACCAAGAAAAAAAGCTCAAATAGATATACCCTATTGCTTGGCAACAAACCTCAGACAGATTAAGTTAGCTGCTAGCTGCTGAATATGAACTAAGCATCTCAGGAGTTTGAAAGATGGACAGGTTGTTGAGTGTTAAAACGAGGGTTTCAATTATTTGATTATTAGAAGAAAAAAATAATCGCCATGTTGCTTCATCCCTGCTTGCTACTGATAAGTTTTTCAGTGTCGTCAGAAAAGAGTCACATGAAGATTAATTTTCTGTCTAATGATTGATAAAATGACCAGTATAAGCAGGAATTTATTTTATTAGCTACTTAAACCAAGTTCCTGCTTGGTGTTTGGTGATTTAGTGGCACTCCTTACATTTGTACTGTGGACCGTGTACAGGTGCAAATGCAAGCAGCTTGCTTTCCAATTAGTGTAATCAGATCCTCTAACCTTTACGACTCCTCCTGAATTATGATCAGATCAGTTCAATAGCTGCAGTGAGGGGAAACTAGCCCAACTTTCCTGTTGCCGTGTTTACTTTTGTTTACCCTTGTGTGTTTCTGTTCACAAAAGTGCGCTGATGTGGGTTTGTAAATATAGTGGGTAAATACAAATAAAAATAACCAAAAAACAAAACGATTTGTGATCACATGTATTTGTTTTCAAATTGAGGGCAGGTTACATCACATGAAAGCTCTATAGATAGACTTTCCACCTCCACACCCACTTGCCTTGCACAGAACGCTCAACAAGAGAGATCCAATCACGACGTGGACAGAATTCAAACTTCAGGCTGCACATAAAGGCTACTTACTGTATAAATAAGGGTGTGATTGTTTTGCTCTGTATATAGAGGATTTCTAGTTTTTCTGCAGATCACTTTACTCTCTAATTCTCCGTCCTCTCTCGTTCACAGGTGGGCTGGCAGTTACGTAACCTGGTCGGCTCGCTGCGGGCCGATAAAGGCATCGTGTCCCTGACCCTGAAGAAGCGTCCACAGAGCACGCTCAGCTCTGCCCCTGCGCTGCTGAAGAACATGCGCTGGAAACCCCTGGCTTTGCAGGTGGGACTAGCTCTACCTTTTATAGACTTTATTAAAGCACTGCACTGGCCCACATAATTCCCCACAGCATTCCCTCTCCTGAACGACTGGAGCTAAAGCGTGTAATTAGGTCAGGGAGCAGTGGCTCAGCATGGTTTTGTTTGCCAGCTGAAACACACTGGACTGAAAGGGAAACGAAAACTGATGGTGCCCTCAAGCCACGTTCCCAAATCTCTTATGATTTTAGAGTATGGCACTATAATTATCACTGATTATCTAGACAAAGGGGGAAAACACAAAGGAGAAGAACACAACTTTGTTCTTATTTTTGTAGTTTGGCTATAGTTGCAATTGGATATTATAACACAGTACGCTCTAAGCCCTGGGGACACAATGATCATTTTTTATGGAGGTAAAAAAAGATAATAACTACACTGAGCTGCCACTGTGCTCGCTTTGCACTTATAGGAAGGGATATTGATTTTGTTTTATTTTGTCCTAAATGGTAAGTAGTCCCTCCTTGCAATATCTCTTTCAGTCTTAATGGAAGCTTATGGAGTTTTCACAATAGTTGAAGAAATATGCAGGTCGATTCCTGTCCCCGATTACCCCCCAATGAAGTTCTGCACAGGCCAATTCCAGTACCAAATCCAACAAACGTCAGTGACGTGCAGGTTCACATGAGCTAGTTCAAAGTTTAGTTCACGCAGAATAAAATGAAGTAGCTCATAGTTCACAATTGATCAAAAAGCTCACATTTCCAAACCTGAACTAGATCTGCATCCATCTATCCTATTTCACTAAACATGCCTCCAATAACTGCCAATGATGATATTTTCCTAAAGAATAAGAGATAATTTATTTTTAAATGCAAAGACTAACAGATCAATTTTGTGTTTTATACATAGACTGTACAGAAAAGATGGATGCTGCTTCCAAACTCAAGCACCAAGGCTGCATTCTTTCGATGTCGATGGAAAAACAAATTAGCAGACTTGATTTTTACGCTTTTCTCTGTATCATAGTAGGATCTTTACTTTATTACATGAAGCACCTTGATGTGACCGCTGTTGTGATTTGGCACTTTACAAATAAATTAATTAAAATGATTCATAATCTCGACAAACACCTTCCTGATAAGTTTATAGTGTTAATCTCCAGTTTTTAGTTATATTAAATACCAGAATGTTCATTTTTTAAATTATGAGTCCCGTTAGTGTCAAGAAGATGGATAAAGCAAGTCTTGCTTTAGAGCAGGCGCACCACTGGGTGGTGTCACAGTTGGTATGCTGTTTGCGGTCAATGTTTTAACAATTTTAGAGAGTCAGACAGATTTAAAAAAATGAAACATAGACAATACACTGACTTTAATCAGAGTTCAGTACCTTTACTAGTATTTTCACTCGTGATGACAAAACATCTCAATCCACCCGTAGCTTAGTGACATTTCACCATGTTCAACCTCTCTTATCCTCTGATCGTGGCGGACTTTCTGCTCATTTGGCCAAACAATATTAGTTACACAAATAGTACTTTTAATAAGTAAATGCTTTTAAATTGTAAAATTTCCAGGGTAATCATTGCTTGAGGCCAGGAATCAAAAGGATAATGTAGGGATGATTCTTTACATAGCAATGCTAGCCATGAAAATACATACGAAATGGTGTTTGGCAGTGGCTTGTTGTAATAAACAAGCCCTTTTCTGGCAAAGAAAGAAAGAAAAGGACTGATGGCTCTATGCATTTCCCTAAAGCCTGCCTATGTTGTTCAGCATTAATGGGGCCTTCACAGCAAGGCAGTGTGCGCTAATGAGCTATGAATTCACCAGTGTTAATGAGCTCATGCAGTGATTTTCACTTCAGAGTCTGTTTGTAATCCAGTTCCTCTTGAGGGCCTGGAGATCAGGCCCATTCAATTCTGTTTTTCAGCCACATCTCTTCCATTTAGAGATTTGTCCAAATTTTCTCATTTTATTTAAAGCTGTACTAGTTTTCAGCTATAACTTAAGCTTAAAATGGATCATTTAAAGACAATTACAATCACTTCATTATTGTATTATGTCATGGGTGTGCTGTGTTTCTTGGGTTCTTGAAGTTGTCAAGCCATTCAACATTAGAGTTATATTTAGGATATATTTAGGACATATTTTTATGTCAGAAGTTGAACTTGAAGCAAAAGGTTTTTAGATTCCAGAAAAAAAAAGACAAATCAAACCCTACTTCCACTTTTTGCAGCCGACCAGAAGCCCAGGCAGCAGTTCAGCCACGCCTTCAGGTACACCCACCAAGAACTCCGCCCTCCAGGACCTTTACATCCCCCCTCCACCTGCTGAGCCATATACACCCAGGTAGTTAACCTGGGTCTTTTAAACAGCTGAAAATAAAAGCGGGATAAAACAGTGGAACAGGTGACAGCAAAGATGAGCTCTGACACTGACGTCCATTTGTTAAAAATCTGCCTCTGCTGTTGCTATAGAGATGAGACAGGAGCCTTGTCTGGTGATGAAGCATCTCGTAACCATGGTGGCGTCAGCGCTGCTAAGCGCTCTGAGTCACCGAACTCCTTCCTGGATCAAGAGTCTCGCCGGCGAGAAGAAGAGGAGCCCGTGTACTGCACCACACCCACATACGGTTCGCTCTTATCATGATTGAGTGTTTGTGTGAGAGGGAGAAACAAAGCACGAGGGAACCGAGTTCAATCTCATGCTGCAGAATTGAGCCACTTTAGAAAAAATAAAAATCATTATGTGAGTATGAATCCACCTGCAAGCCCAGCATAGAGCGACTGAGCTTGTTACAAAGCTGGCGAAATACAAGAATCCTGCAATTACTACAGCTGCTTTAATGTTGTTAAAACCCCTTATTCATCGTTAAATATCAGTTCAGTACAACTCTTCATCTTGTCCTTTAATTATTATTTTTTAAGTGTACCAACATTTAGCCTAATGTTTATTGGAAAGTGTGAAAATTTGCACAACAGTTTCAAATTTTTGGTTGAGGACCATAAGTTTTTATTGATCAACCCATCTGTTTTGCTACTATTAAACTTGTGATTGTGTGTGCACTTGTAGGCAGGCTGAGGCCCATCTCCATGCCTGTGGAGTGTAACTGGGTGGGTGATTATGAAGACCCAGCCAAGCTTAACAGAGAAAGCCGCAGAGGTGAGTGCCGGCGTGTGGAGTGCATATGTGTCTCCTGAAGAGCCTGTTAGATATTTGTTAAGCGCTCCTGTCTCTATGAATTATAAAGAGATCAACGTGTGTGTGCAGATCAATGCACCTCTATCCCTTTTTGCTAATTCTCCCTGTGATTAGCATCACAGAGGAATGAGGGGGGGATGATGAGGAAAGAAGTAGGAGGGGGGAGAAAAAAGGCAAACAGTCTGCACAAAGGGAGAGAAAATGAAAGGAAGCCGTGAAAGGAGGAAGAAGAGAAAGAGAGGAAAAGAGGAACTGAGGGGTGGAGGTAGAAACTGAAAAAAGCTTATTCTCCCTGACCTCCACCTGAATCACTCACACAGTTGCCATGGTGACGCTGACAGCAGCTCTTCTCGGTGTCTCACTTTCCTCTGGCCGCTGCCTAGCAACCAAGGGAGGACAGGAGAGTGGGATCCGCAGAAAAGGGAAGAAAGAGGTAGAGGAAACCCGAGTTTGCTCCAGAGTTCAGGTGGAGAAATGGAGAGAAGTTACACAAAAAAAGATGTAAAAAAATTCAGAGCAAAGCAGGAATAAACTCAGCTGCACAGATGAACTCATAAACAGTATTTTGGAGCCGAGGAATTTTACTTCATCAGTCACACAAGCAAAACTTTACAATGCTGAATTGGTAGCACACATAACAACATGAAAGAAATGTGTTATATAAAAAAATATACTAGTATTATTGCAGATGTTTTGTTATGGCTAAATCCCCACACTCCTCCTTTTGTGTTCAAAGAGCTGAACACTAATGCATGATCAGTCTCTCTAATAATTTTTCTCCGTAATTCTCTTAGAAGCAAAATAAACCTCAGACTACAAAACTAGCCAAGACTAAACGTTAGCATCCTCACCATGCAGGAGCTGAATCCCTCGATCCAAATTGACCTGTGATATTTTCTTGTAACTTCAACATACTTCTTACCATGTTTTCTTATTACATCTGGACATGTATTAGCAAAAATGCAAAATGTTCAATCTTGAAACGATAAAAGAGGAATCATTCCAAACAAAAGAAAAAAGTCCTCGACCTGTTACCGCCGGTGGCCAGTGCACGGAGTAGACCCAAATGCAGACAAACCAAAAGGAGAATGGATTTAACAGAATAAGAGCCTTTTATTTAGACTGAAGGAAAAAAAAAAAATACGATATGCAGAAGGGAAGTAAGATGAAGCTAAACAATAAACTAAACTGAGAAGATAAGATTAAAATAAATGGAACACGGAACCTGGATATGGGAAAAATCTGCAACATGATGAACAACGGACAGACGACCTGACGAGGAGCAAAAGGAAACTCATACAATAGAAACACACGAGGGTGATTAGGGAGAAAGGAAACACATGGGGAACACGCTGGGACGAATAGGAGACAGGGGAAGAGAAACTGAACACACTGAACACAGGATGAGAAAATGTCAAAATAAAATTGGAAGCACACGAAAACAGACTAGGACTCACAGGTTTGACACTGGGACCGGGGGGAGGACAGACATGGGAACCAGACAGACTGAGGAGATGCAGAGGACGAATGAGTGAGGGACACAGAGCCATGACGGACTGTGGAGAACACACATGGATGCACATGACTGACAAGGGAGACAAGGAATAAAAAACAAGGCGGGGAAACTGGGGACCGAAAAGGGAGACAAGACACGGAGGGAGATATGGACATGACTGAGGAACATACACAGAGGACATGATGGACTCTCAGAGGAAACACGGGGGATGACACTGAGACAAGAAAACATGAACCAGAAGAACAACTAAACTGAGAAACATAAAAAGGACTAAACTCCATACTAACTCTAAAAACTTGGACTGAAACATCCCCCAAAAATGTTTCATGTTGATTGGTTCTGTGGGAGCAGGGGCAGGATTTTCTATTTTTGCTCATATATTTCTACTCTGGATTCTTTGAGTGCCATGTCTCCATAGCAAATCTCAAAATATATTAATAAATGCATTGCTTATATGGTCATTTTCACTTCCTAGAAACAGTGTTACCAGGGTTATTGTGATTAACATATTTGTCTGATAATTAGGGATTTTTTTTTAAACCTACCCTGTGCTAACGGTTAACACATAATAATAATAATAATAATAATAATAATAATAATAATAATAATAATAATAATAATAATCATGGTTGTGGAGCAGATGTTGCAAAACCATGCTATTATAACCAGTAACCATAACTGGCTACACCTCACCTTGGAGCAGAGCTGAAATGATGTGTATTCACAATAGAGATTAGCTCCGCATCCTTAAAAATGTATTTTTTGAGGTGCAGAATCATCAAGTGAGTACTTTCGCTGTACTTGAAGCGTCACTCATGGACAAGTACTCTCCCTTTAATCCAATGTATCCACTGTTCCTACACCAGTGCTACATGAAATGACTTGCAGTTCAGCTAGGGAATCAAACCAGTGATTGAGTGCTTATCATTGCCCAGGGACTTGTGCCCACTTGGGTCATAACCTGTTGCACAAATATCAGAAAGCTGAAGTTTCACAAGCAAACTGAAAAATCCTGGGAGCAGAGAGGATGGATATCACACAGGAAATGAGTCCAGGCAACAGAACCTCTGAGTGCAGAGGTGCAGTTTGGAGCAAGAACAGAGGAAATCCAAATGCGTGCACAGACCTTATGAATTATGTGGGAGAGCAGTGCAATATTTGACAAAGGAAATAAAAAATCATGCTCCCAAACTGAAGGAAACTGGAAACTGCAGTTTGTATTGTGAAAAATGGCACAAATATAAGTGAAGTCTGTGTTATTTGTGCAGATTTTTGAATGCACAATCATTTGACTTGAAATGTAACAACCGTGGAGTCTTTGTGTGATAAATTGGTGTGCCCCTTTCAATGCTGGCTAACACTTCTCTTCCTCACTTCCTTTGTGGGCACACCGCTTAGTGGCAGCGTGTGAAAATGGCTGCAGGATGTGTGTCTCTGAATCCTCACATGAAAACACAAAAACTCCTCATCACACCTTCACCAAAGTAAATTTGTGCAGGTTTATTATTTATACGTCTTTATCAACTGACGCTGCCTGAAGGGATTTTCTGACAGTTTGTCCTTCCCATATGTGCTGACTTTGGTCTTCTTGTTGGCTTTTTACATAACTGCATTGCAGCTAATAAGATGGTTTTATTCAACAGTGACCGTGATCTTTTCTTGACCTTAATCTGTTAGTCCTGGTTATAAATTACCAAATCCCCAGAGCTGATTTGCTGCATGGTTTTCTTTATTTTACAAATTAAGTAGTCTGTTTATCAGGTGATAAAACACAATGCAGAATTTTTCACTGCAGTCTGGGTTAAACAAAACTAATTAACCTCGAGGGATGCCAAGACTACGGGGCACAAAAAAAAAAAAAAAATTACGTCTGGAATTTTTGCACTCCTTAGATATTTTCAAAATAGCTGATGAAGTAAGTATGGATTCTGTAAATAGAAGTCAAAAGCTTTAAAAAGTTTTCCTTTTTTAAAATCTTTCTATTGACTGCTCTTGAAGTCTACTGCCCTAATTTTGATGCATTTGAATAACAGGACATTTTTTTCTGCAGCCTTTTATTTATATATTTTTAAATTTAGTCTCTAATTAACCCAGAAACCTTCATGACAACATAGGAAGTATTGATGAAGACAGACTAGAAAAAGTATGAGCAGGAGATCAAAATCAGTCAAATGTGGGCGGAGCTTTGATTGGCTGGTGTAACTGTGTCTCACAGAAGCCTCGCTTATGCGTTACGTGGGACTGTCCGGTGGGGACGAACGGACCAGCGGTGAAGACTACTCCTCCCACACAGCTCGTCCGGGCAAACGGTCCAATGATACGGCCAAACGTGCCAAGAGGCGGAGCCACCACAGTCAAAGCCCCTCCCATTATGTCCTTCAGACAAATCAGAGAGAGTCACCTCCCAGGGACCCAGCCTCCATTTATCATGTAAGGGATGGACTTTGTAAAAATGTATTTGCTTCTTCCTTTCTCTTTTTGTTCGTTTATTTATTTTACATGTTTTTGTCTTTGTTTTTTTGTTGCTCTTTCATTGTCTTTATCACTGCGGACTCTTAAATACAGAACTTTTATTTGTGGGTTGTTTCAATCCACAATGACAACTTTAAAGAAGACATGGAAACATGATAGCACCAACTGACATTGATGTAACTCTGTTTGTGAAGCTGTATTTAAGAAATAAGTGCTTAAAGTTCAAATTTGAAAAAACAGTTTAGCATCATCTTCTGTCAGTACGGAATGTGATGTCATTTGGTTGGTCGGTTGGTTGTGGCTAATAGACTTACATTAGTTTATGTTAGCTAACTAGTGACAGAATTGACAGCTCGGAGGAAAATAAGACCAGTAAAACTGAAAAGCAGTTTGAGACGGCTTTAACAATTATGTTTATGCCAAGAAACCAAGGATATACTGTCTACTTTCACTGTCTCGTGTTTTATGTCCTCTATAAATCACTCTGGAAATTCAAAGAAGTGTTTTCTGTGTGCCAGATGGGGAAATCAATGCCACTCTTATATTGAAGACCACGAATGGCTAGACTAGCTTGGTCTGAAAGCAAAAACATCTACGCACAACTTTTATACCTAACTTTTATAACTATACATTTTCTTACTTTTGAATTTGTATACACATTGAACATAAAACATACTGTATCCCATGCATGCATCATGATAAATTGTGAAATATATTAAAAAAAAAGAAAAAAGTTTTATTTCCTTTATGATCTTAAGTGTGATCATTACTCACTGACAAACTACTTTTATGGTTGTTAGGCTAATTATTAAACATATACTTCAGATTCATCATGTCATGCTCACATTGCTCAAGAGTTGTCCCCCACATTAGATGTGATACAACCTTGAAAAATATTCATTCCCTGACTGGTTGGCAAATAGTTGCTGGAAGCTGCTTGTGCCGCTTGGTGTAATCAGTCACAGAGATTTTATTGCATCAGAAACTTGCTTTGTACAACATATTACATATTGTTCCTTAGCAACCAGTGGTTGCCAGGGGGTCTCTTGACGGGTCTGTAAGCCTGTGTGACTGGGGCTTTTGGAGTCGATTGCCAGTGATTAACATCAAACTACAGCAATGGCTCACCAGCCTGTCAGGTAATACACATTTTTCGCTCGCAACTGGTGGTGGACAGATGATCAAAACAAAGTTACTGTCACATGGTTAGTGGTCATATGACTGCAAAACCTCAATATCTAAGGTGCCGCCTAGCCACATTAATCTTACCTGTTGGCTTGGACTTGTTTGAATGCTTCATTGTGGTTTCTTGAGGTGGATCTGACTGAGAAACAAGTCATGTTAGCGACACACCAAATCATGCCCTGCTTTTGCATATAATTTACTCTAATAGGATCACAGTGTACCATTGTACTATGTTATATTAATTAAGACTTCAAGCTAGTGTTTGAGGCAATATACCTAGACCTATACTCATTAGGAAGGTGATTACTGAGGTCATAAATCAAGAGAGCTACAGGGACCTCTAGACAATGAGACCCAATGAGGTGAACTCTTCGTTGGCCATGAGAACACAATTCAGGCAGTTGTTGAAGCTATGTCCATCTTTGATATACAGTTATACTCTTGCCACGCTATCAAGTCATGGTATTTATTTATTTAATTTTTTTCAGAAGCCTTACTACCACTCACAATCATGGTGGTAGTTAGTTATAATAACTTATTAACTATACAGATATAAAAGTGGCATTGATCTACTCATTCAACTTTTGACAAAATAGGCAAACATCCAAAGTAACCATGTAAGATAAAGTCTTTAAAATAAAGGATAACAAACGGAATATGTCGTTGACAGGGATGATGTCCAGGAAGTGTAGAGGGAAAAAGTGCCCCAACAAGCTTTTGAAGTAAAACATCTCACTGAAATTGACATAAAAAGAGTACTGTTGTGTTTAAATAAGCTGTTGATTTAAACTCCAGGTGCAAAATATAGCTTCATATTGTGGATCTGAACTACTCTGGACAATCAGGAAATTCCTCTGACTTTCTCGGATCTGTTGTGATACTAATCTAACAGTCAGGACTCAGAGATTTGAGAGAAAGCAAATAGCTTTTAGCCATGATGAAAAAGTGCCACAGTGAAGTGTGATGTGAGCGAATGCTGACTCGTTATTACCCCCTGTCACTTCCATGACATCCGCCTGCCCTGCCTGTCCGTCTCAGCCTGCCGGTCCAGGCAGTCATTTTGGCCGGCGGTGACCTTATACATCTTGTCAGCATCTCTTTGAAAATTAAAAGTGTTTGCATGCCCGTGCTCGAGTATGTGTTTACAGTGTGCATGGGCGCTGCGATGGCAGATGGCGTGTCAGTGGGAGTGGGCGGGCCCATGTAATCTGTCCTGCTGAGTATTGGGCTGTGAGTGGCTGAGGTCCAGGCTCTGACATGTGTAATATCGTGACATCAGAGCTGGTCTGTTGCCCCATCTGACCGGTAGAAAGAGGTCACATGAGAAATGTGCTGGTCAGAGTTTGTTGTTTTGGATCAAGGATGCTGCATGAGGCATCAAATACACTCAGTTCTCCGCAGTGTCATTACTCAGTCAGATCTGAACACAAGATGTTATATTTAGTTTGGCTTACTCTTTCAGGTCATTTCAAGGCCCACATTACTCTTATCAAATTATTCGTCAGCTAGGCACTGACCCTAGACATTATAAATGATGGACATATCTATTATGACATCATCCACTGGTGTAGTTCTGTTATGAGGTGTCGAGATGAGCGTTTTTGCTGAAGCCTTTGTGGTTTTCTGCAGTGAGAAAGGTGTGAATTTGACTGTTAATCCAACTGCATGCTCATTGGCTAATGAGCTGTCAATAACAAGCTGTTAGCCCCAGATTATTCTCCTTTCTGACATTTAAGATGGGATTATACTTTACGCATTCATAGATCTTTTTCCCGTGTGACTTTCATTTTGTGATCAGACACTGAGTGTGAGGTTCCATGTGGACTGCAAGAACTTTTCCACAGAGACTTTACATTACAATGCACTAGCCACGCATGCGACCCAGGTGGGGGACTTCAAAGAAGTATAACAGGAAGGACTGCTCGGCCGTCAAGGTTCCAGATGTGCACGTCTGTGTCCGCAATGTATAATGCTAACCTTAGAATGGCCAAAATTTTAAAAATGGACCTAATGTTTTATTCAGTATTTCCTGAAATGAGTCAAGTGGAACTTGAGGTCCAGTCGGTGGTACATTTTCCCATAGACTCCTGTGAGACTGGAAGTCTTTTTACAATCACATCTAGTTTCCCCAGCTTTCATTAAAAACAAAGCAGGCTTAAGGCATTTCCCCATTGGCTTCACTTTTTATGTTTCAGTCACAGAAGCTACGTCGGCCTTTGGCACTGTCTATGATGCTGACTAAACATTAGAATAGACTCTACATATATCATTGCCACTGTTTTATAAAACAAAATCAATCTTAACTTTTTCTATTCCTTCTGCTTTAGACAAACATGGAATCATGAACAGTTCTTCTTTAAGATGTAACTGTTATCCACTAAGAAAATTGCACAACTTGAATGATCACTTCTTCATATATCGCAGTAATCCCCTGATAGATTTACCTCTGTCCTCTTTTAAAAGCACAAACTAGATAATTCACTCTAAATTTTAAACACACCAAGTAAGTGGGCATGTCAGGGTTCACTGTCAGACTTCACATACCCTTGTTTTGGATGCTTGTCCTTCATGTTTTGCTTACTGAAGTTTCTACTTAATCTCACAGCTCCCCTGAGCTTCTTCACACACACACACACACACACACACACACACACACACACACACACACACACCTACACACACACACAAACGTCCTCCCTCACCTGGACGTCCTATTGTGTCACCCGAACCTCCCTCCTGTCCTTCTGTTCTATGTTTAGAGGTGTGAAAGTCGCTAATGTCCTCCGTGAGGTTCACTTTTCCATCCCCTCATATGTGTGTCTGTGTGTGAGGAAGAGATAATGAGAGAACGGGGAGAACGATTCAGCTCCCCTTTCCTCGTCTCATCGCTCCTGCTCTCCCTAAGATCTGTCATCTTTTATATCCCAGAATTCATTGCAGCAAACAAAGGGCACTGATTCATCCTGACAGCCTGCCTCTCCCTCCCTCTCTTCTTCCTCTTCTTTCCAACCTCTCTCAGACATACCAACAGTCCTCCTCCTCCTCCTCTCTGCAGTCAAAGAACAGGAAGAAGAATAAAGGTAAGCAGGAAAGCCACCTGTTAGGTGTGAACAGATGCTGCCAGTTGTGGTTTTTCACTCATCCACTAATGGAAGCAGGAAGAATGTGAGAGCAGCTGCTGCTTCACAAAGCCAGCAGTCATAGTAACACTTTATTTGATACTGATCTGAACTGAAATGATACTTTGCACTCACAAAACTAACTCGGGAAAACTCAGTTAAAGAAAGGTTGTGATGACAAATTTGACCAAACTAAAAAATCTAAAAAGCGAAGGGCATTTTTTATATAAACTAAGCTTTGGAACAGATGTTTACTGAGACTACATGAATGTGAGTCAACTATCATCAAAAAAGGTGTGCTTGTATTGTAACAGCTGTTCTGAACCTCTGAAAAGTTTTTATGTCTAATTCAATCTAATTAAACACTTTAATCCTAACACTGAAATGAGAAAAACCCCACTCTGGAAAACAAAAATTCCAAATAAAATTCAAAAATATGAAATTATAACTCTCATGTAACGGAAATAAAAATGTCATAATGAAAATGAAGGCAGTCACATAGCTGAGGAGGAGTGGGGCAAAATCACTGGTGCATTTGCTCCCAATAAGAGGATTTGTGGTAGATTCTTAATTTTTTGGTGTTAGATGTCAGCATATGGATGAATTTTTAAGTTAATTTCATATTTACGTGTGTAAACACCATCCATAATTACCAGCTCATGCACATCTGCTGCCCTTGCCCATATATTTCAGCTTAGAGATTGGCAGATTCCTCCATGATCACTGGAGGTCTGACTGAAGGGTTTACTGGCTAGCAGGAGAACATCTAACATTTCTAGTTTTTCATGCTTCCCAAAGCAATTTTTGAATGCAAGTAAATCCCAAGTGGAAGACAATTATATAGAAAAGACAGGACATTTAGTTTTAGTCATTGTTTGTTTGTAACAAACTCTTCTTGCGTATTAAGTGGATCCAATGTATCTGGAAAAAAATGTGGAAAAGTTGTCATATCAGAAGACCTAAAGCTTTGTAGTACAGTATCACTTACACAACTAGAAACTGGAAACACAAGCGGAACAGCATGTTTTCTAATCTCTGACCGACTAGAAATTTTTTTTTTTTTTGAATGATGAGTTTAAGTGGATACTTTGGGGTGATTTCCTCTCTTTGTTTTAATTGTTCTGTGACCTTAGGAACTTTTGGAAAACTTTCATTTACAGCTCTCCAATTTGTGAATGATCTGCTTGAAAGCTCAATGTGAAACACACTGATTTAAATCAAGGGGAAACACAGACAACCAGCTGGCCATTAGAGGTTCATTTAACTTTTTGCTGGCATCTTTTATCTAGAGTGCACAATATGAATCAACAAGCTCTAGTTTTACTTTAAAACAACAGCTAAAAAAAACTGCTGTCAGTAGTAAGGGTTAGTATCCCAAGTAGTTTAGGTACATATATAACATTATTATAGAAACAACGCCAATGGATCAAACCAACCCCTTTGTCTAGGCTGTTTTTCTTCTTATGAAAGTGAATGAAGTTCAAAATTTAACCCACTGAAGTTCTAGTGCTGTGTTGTCCTTAAATGGCTCACAGACAGTCAGTTTGTATGTTCATCTGATCAGGAAAACATCTTTTACCTTTCATCAACAACTAAATGGAAAGAACTTTTGCCCCTTCTTCATCTTTTCACCTCTCAAAGAAGCTACAAGAAAGTAGATCTTATAACCAAATGAAGAGTTCCCCTTCATTTTCCATCACTGTGGTAAATACACAGACATGGTGAATATGTAATGAATGTTTATATTTGTGGTAACTTAGTCTGAAATATATCGTCAGTTTTAAAAACTGCTCTTTGTTTCGTTCTGTTTTGTGTTACTCAGGCTAAAATAAACAAGTGGCCACAATTAAGAAGTTGGGAACTGTAGCTGTTTTCTGAGCTTTCCTATAATCAATGATTTTAAAGAATGGTGGGCTTTAAAAATTCATTATTATATAAACTGATAAATTGCTCCAGTAATACTCAAGATTAAAGTCGATTTCTCCACATTTTTGTGATCATTTATTAACGGTAATGCATAATTGAAAAACCTCATTGCTTTTCATGCATTTCACAGTTTGGGCTGAGCCAAAGAAAACATGATTTATGGTTTTAGCAGTTGAAATAAACAGTCAAAAACATCGATGTAAAAACATTGTAATAATTTGCTTATGAGGTAGTTTTCTCACCTTGTAATCGTTTCATACTCATGCAGTCTGTGCAGACAGCTCTGTGTTTGCATTTTAACACATTGTTCCCATTTTGCATGTTTTGATGAGCGTGCTGCAGACCGGACTGCAGGCGAATTTGCTTTCAGTCAGTGTGCACACATTCACGAATCCAGCATTTCTCTATATCATCGTTAACATTTATCGTTGCAGGATGATTACTGTAACATCAGTTCTTACCTTTTTAGTTTTATTTACATAAATGACTCAGTTGATTCTTTATTAGGATTTTTTCTTCTTTTTTTTTTGGATAATTTTACTCACAGCCATCAGTATTTTTTTCCCTATCTGACCAAACCTTTTTTTCTCTTCTACCACACGAACGAGGATTAACATGTTGAAAGGGATTGTTTTTTGTTTTTTTCCAGAGGCCTTTTGCTTGTTTCACCATCTGCCATTGTGCGAAAGCTTTAGCTCCATCTGCACGTATGGTCAACGGCTTTGTTTGTTTACCGCAATTAAAGCAAAGTTTCAAAATGAGTGTGATAATAATGATTTATTCACAGTTCCACTGCTCCAAGTGGTACTCTTATCAAATGTGTAATGAAATATTAGTAACTGTTTTCGTTGAGGATCAGAGAAAAAAAAATCTTCGTTTTCTATAACGAGTAGTTCTCTTTTAAAGCTAAATTGGTGATGGTATCAGTTTATAGCCTGGAGCTGCTGCACAGAAAATGAAGAATAATCATTATTCGAGAGCACTTTTGTGCATTTTGAGGATGTAAGGTGTGTGTGTGTGTGTCTGTCTGTCTGTGTGTGTGTCGAGTGGGGTGGGGGTGTTCTAAAGCTTATTAATTATATCCAGACTCAAAATCTTTTCACAATGCGTAGTTGAAGTGTAGTTTTTCATGTCATGCACTGTGTAAGAATCCTGTTTCCTTTAGACCTGCACTGCCACAGATGTAAATGGAGTATTGTAACCATGTTAAAAGACTTTTCATCCAGTACTATGCAAGTTTCTCCGTGGCCTCGACTGAGAGCCAAGTTTCCCCGGTAATCTTTAATGAGGAGCCTGCTGAGAAAAATGTTACAGGGCTTTTATGCCAGAAGGAAAAGGCAGTTTTTATTAAACACCTCTTACCTTACTGCAGTGCAGCAGCATTCTGTCAAGTCCAGAGACTGAGGCATTGCCAAGAATCATTGCTACATTAGGATGTGACATTTTGTGAAAGATTTTATTCACACTGAAGTGAGAACTTACAAGCAGCATTAGTGCTACCCTTTGAATGACACATTTTCCTTCTTTGAGTTTTTGCTTTCTTCTAGTTTTGAGACCATTTTCTGTCCGTGAATTCCGCTGCCTTCACATTTCCTCCATGTTGTTCCAGGACGAAGTTTGGCCTCGCTGAGTCGGAGGCGTGTTTCCTGCAAGGCGCTGGGCAGAGGAGACTGCGAGGGTTGGCTGTGGAGAAAGAGAGATGCAAAGGGTTACTTTTCTCAAAAATGGAAGAAGTACTGGTTTGTTCTGAAAGACAACTGCCTGTACTGGTACATCAATGAAGAGGTATGTCTCAAAACTCATGTTGAGGTTTTTACTGACACAAAAGTGATGCTTTAGCAGAGGAGGCATTACCACAGTCGGGACCTAGAACTACAACACCATAGAAGTGGATGTGCTTTGTTTGAAGCTGCCCTCCTGCTAGTGTATGATAAAGACAGTGGGAGACGTTTGCATATAGTTTTGTGGGGAAAAAAAACTATACTTTCTTTTAATTTAAAGATGTATGTATCAAGACATAATATACTTGGTCCCTAACATGTTAATTTGCATGAATAACACAAATTGTTCATGCAAATTAACTCCAAGGTACATGCAAAGCTCAGAGAATTTATTAAAAAATAACATTTAAACAAAGCATTTCAAACTCTCCTTGCTTCAGTTAGCATCTTAACTGTTAAAGTTCATGACAGTACAATTAGAAAAGAACTAAATGAGTATGATTTGTGTGGAAGGTTTTCCAGGACAATGCTTCTTCTCTCTGCAAAGAACATGGTAGCACAGCTTAGATTTCCAAAATTATATATGAAATAATAACTTCTGGGACAATGTTTTTTGGACAGATGAGACCAAAGTAGAGATATTTGCACATAATGCACAGCATTATGTTTGATAAAAATCAAACACAACATATCAAACCTGTTATGCCCCTTTGCAACACCCGCTCCCTTTGCAGTGGCAGTGCACGAGTCTTCAGGTCTTACCTGGGTTGAAATGCTAATTGACTACACCTGGTGAGGTCCAAAACCTGGCACAGCTGCCAGGCTTTCGAGGGGCGCACCAGTTTTGTCTCTGTGGTACCACCTGTTTTAGCGAACTTATTATGTCATTTAAAATCAAATCTATTATTTTTTATACTGTGGTGTCAGACTCCATATTTATGTTGCTCCTTTTGAGAAAGGTTGTAACATAAATGGGGGCTTGTCCGGGATATTTTGGACACTTTAGATATGTTTGTGGAGACAAAACATCAGAGGTTTTGAGTGATGATTAAGGTGTTAGCTGTGATTGAGAAAACTCTCCTTAGCAAATGTGTTTCAGCTGGGTGGCTGTGCTGCCTGTCCACTGTAGTACCTGTTTGGTGGTTTAGTTTATTAAGTTTAGTGGTTATCCTGGGTGGGGATTCAGACTTCAGAGTTTTCTTGTAGACTGCATCTCTGATCTGCTGCCTGCTCTTGAGTTTGCGTTCAAAGTTGCCTCAAACATCTACATCTAGTAAATAAGTGTTTATGGATGCCAGATGATGAGGTGAGTGCTTTGTGCTGTGACCTTTAGTGTTGTGGAAAAGCTGGCTACTTTTGTTGGATCACTTGTGAGTGTTGTTGGCCAGGTGACAGCCAAAAACATTTCTTTAAATTGTGTAGATATTGCACTTCATTTGGGGTTGGTCACTAGTACGCTTGCTTTACTGAATTTTCTAGATCAAAGTAACTTGTTGTGGCATAGGGCCGCTTGGTGTGTGACTGTTTGTGTGATGGCAAGAACAGATCACATGGTTGGGATTGTTGGTTGATGCTTTTGGTTTGTGTTGTAGTAATTGTCTGAGTAATTACTTACTGAGTAATCCTTTTGATTTGTGGCTGTTGTGCTCATCTATGTGCTGGTCACATGTTACTTTTGTTTGCTCAGTGCAGCAACTTGGGATCCTCATATCCATGTTTGAAGATGTCAACTAAAGTTATGTGTGAGGTGTTAGGCCCTTCTGCAACCTCTTTTCTCTTTGCAATTTAAAATTATATAATAATAAAAATAAAGTACATTTTTAAAACTCTGGTGACAGTCTCCATATTTCTGTTTTGGCTTTTGAGCTTGGTCTTAACAAGCACAAACACCTTATGACAGCTGTCAAGATGGAGGTGGTGAAGGGTTGAGAGAGAGCTGTGTATAAACAAATACAATGCATTCTTCAACTAAACTGAAACTGAAGCAATGTTGTAAAGAAGAGTGGGTCAGAGAAACAATGGGAGAGACAGAAAAAGTCATACATAAAATCATTATTTCAAGTTGTTGCTGTCAAAAGTGGTTTTATGAGCTACTGTATCACGGGGTGTACTTTGTTTTTCTACACACTACTTCTGTGTTGTGACTTAAATAAATAATGAAATAGTGGTATATGTAGTAAAATGTGGTATATGCCTGAGGTTGGATTTAAATAACTTTCTCTTTTTTTTTGCCCGATATGTAAAACCATGGAATTGACAGAACTCTTACATTTTTTGCACATGACTGTAAAGTCAAACTTATTTATATAATTTGATTAATTTGTATCAACATTAGCGTAATGTCTTTATTTATTTTTAACATTCTTTTTTATCCCACCATCACTTTTTTCCCCTTCTAGTTCTCTGGTTTATGGCTAAATAAACCAGAAAAAAAAAAAGCTGGCAAGAATTCGCTTCTTAACACTGTCAGTGCAAACCCCGTCAGTGGCTGACCAGAGAGCTGTTAGGTTTTAAAGTCTTATCTTTATTTAATCTGACATTCATCAACCTCTTCCTGATCAGTCAGACTTAGAAAAAATAATGTGCATTTGGAAAAACAGAGAGTGAACACATGAAATCAACTGTTTTTTAGCCATCCTCTTTTTCTTTTCTTTTTTTGGCTTGCTGTCTGTCTTTTTTTTTTTTTTAATTTCTTTCTCCTCGCTCTTTGTTCAGGATGAAAAAGCCGAAGGTTTTGTCAGTCTTCCAGAATTTAAGATCGATCGAGCCAGTGAATGCCGCAAGAAGTAGTAAGTGCTTAACAAACGCAGGTCTCTTGCATATATATGTGTATGTTACGTGCAGATCACATGCTCTTGAATGTATGAATGTGTGCCTGCAAAAATAACACACCCTCTATCCCTCTAGTGCTTTCAAAGCTTGCCACCCCAAGGTCAAGAGTTTCTACTTTGCAGCAGATGGAGTGGATGACATGAACAGGTAAAGGAGTGTGTGCAGGGTGAAGGTTATAGAATAGGGCAGACTTCCAGCTGGGTGGCTAAACACCACAAAAGACCCTTCAAGTAAAAAGGGGGAAAAAGTGTTTTATTTAATGTTTAAAAAGGGAATTTGTTTTTATTATCAAAAATTTTAAGACATTTTCACAGAGGCCATTTTTTTTATAGGTGGCCAATTTTTTTATGAGTCACAACATACTAAGGATAATATATTATACCTATGTACCTGTTTTTGTCTGTTACTGACGTTTTTTAACAAAATATGTATATATTTGTTCATCCATGTCTTACATAACATTTAAACCATGTTTGATATACCTATTTACTTATATGATGTAGTTATCATGCTGTAGATCAGAGCAGCTCAATATCGTTTCAAACTTTTAAAAAAACAAAAAATTAAAATAAAAAGAAGTAATCATTTTTTCCCAAGTGATTATTTATGTACACTGTGAGACTTTGGGACCCCAAGCGAGATTGTTATTTTAATGTTTAATTATTTGTTTGCGTACATTATGAGATAATCTAATTAGTTCCCCCTTCTGTTAGGTGGCTGAGTCGCCTCAACATGGCCGCTGTAGGCTATGCAGAGCGAGAGAGGATACGCCAGGAGCAGGGTGAGGGGCTCATTCAGCGACATGGTGAAGGGTTCTTCAAACGATGGCTGCTGTAGGATGTCATCTTAAGCCAACAACACAATAATACTTCTATACCTATTGAACTTATTGTTATATTCCCAGAATAGCCAGATAAATCTCCTAGGGGCTTACTGGGAGAAAAATTTGTTAATGGGCAACTAATGACCCCGTACCACACATGACTGTTTCATTACACCCCCAGGCACTCAGAAACCAAACAGTTATTTTTCATCCGCTTGGTAATGTGATGCAATTAGCTATTTCTGGAAATATATTCTCCTTCAGTTCTCAAAAACTAACAAGCGCAGAGGAACCATTCACTTAAAAGCGGTCCACATTCTTCACTCCACTGACGAAATATGAAGTAATGTACATGTTTTCCAGGTTTTTTTAAGGTCCTGGGAAGAAAAGAATAATTTACAAGGTTAGTTTGAATTTAGCTAAATGTTAATAGTGAGCAAACCAGGTAAATGAAATTATAATTTGGGTAAAAGTATTTGAACTATAACTTTGGACATAAGCAAAGATAATCAACTCAATACCCCCAAGGTTTTGGATGGTAATGAGGTGAAGCTAGTTGGGTCTAAAAATGTTGAAAACAAAGCCACAAAAGCCAAGGGAATAAAATGCCATCATTCATACCATTTACACCAAGAAAAAAGTGTTTGTTTTTTTTAATGATTAAAAAGGATGTTTGTTTTTATTACCAAATATTTTAAGACATATTAGTTGTTAATAATTTGGTTTTAACTGTTTAGTCTGAACAGTTTTTGATCCTTTACTATGTTCCACATAAAATCTGAAGCATTAAAAAAATTCTAAAAAAAAAGAAATGTCTGGAACATGGTTAGCCAGAGGCTGCAGAATACTCTAAAACTTTTGAAAAGCTTAGATTAAAGATTTTTTTGTGTGTTCAGTTCTAATATTTTTTTTAAAAAAAGAAAACTGTTCATGGGTAGAATAACCAATGAGCTTTTTGGCCCTCGTGTCTGTTTAAAAAACTTAGCTATGAATAAACATCACAGTTTTTTCTTCATTTTTTCCCCCCCTCTCTCTGTTTTTTTTTTTTTCCAAGATTTACATGTCAGTTGGTTGCTGACTCATAGCAAATGAATTATTGTTGCTATATCAAAGGTTTTTTGTGTATTAAATACTCAAAGCAAAACATCCATTCTACTTGTGGAGTGAGGACCAAAATGCAAGATCCTCATTCAGAGTTTCAATAAAAAGCCAAAATTTTAATAGCTGTAATCCAGATTTAAAACTTAGTCACAGGAGATCAGGAACAGTAAACAGAACAAAAGAACAAAGGAGAGACAGGGCTATTTATACACACAAAAGGTAATCAGGGAATAGGAATGGGAATAGGGAATATATAGAGCTGAAACTAATCTAGACAATAACAGTCAAATTAAAAGTGTGACACAAGAGACAAGTAGACAAGTAAAACTAGAAGTGAACTGCAACCATAACTAAAGCACATGAAACAAGAGTAAACTTGACACAAGAGAAAGCACACAAGGTCAAGATAGAGGGAAACATTAGTCTATAAAGTCAAACAGTAGCAACATGTAACCAAAAGTGAATGACTGAAAATACTAGGCAATATTTGAAAATGAAAAGTGAGTAAAAACATAAAATAAACCCAGAACAGGAAACAAAACTAAAATCACCCCACATAGCAGACAGGTCTGTCCCGGATCTGGTGTCAAGCTGGCACTTCTGACTGACTGGTGTCATGGCAGGGTGTATGTCAACCAGATGTGGGCCAGGTCTGGCAATGATGGCACTATTTATGTTCCCATTTTCCTATTTTAGTTAGAGGACCCAAATGCCATGTTGCAATACTATACCGCTATGGTAGCCAATGTTTCAAATGCAGGTTTGACAGGTTTGTGAGAGTACACTTCATCCAAAACCTAATGAGGGTTTAGTCATGTTTACTGCCGGGTGGCTGTAGCTCCAGGGGTAGAGCAGGTCACCTTCTGATCAGAGGGTTAGTAGTTTGATTCCTGGCTCCTCCAGTCTGTATGTCAAGCCTGTGAATATGTATGAATGTAGTTAGGAAGCACTCAGTTTAGAGAGATTGGGTGAATGTGGCATGTTGTATAAAGCACTTTGAGTAATCCAGGAGAGTAGAAAAGTGCTACGTAAGAATCAGTCCATTCACTGTCTGAGTGGAATTTTGTCATGTTATTTTTGCACTATTATGTTCCGGCACATGTTGTGGTTTGATTAACGTACACATTAGGCTGACATCTGTTGCCAGAGCTGAAACTGTTCTGGGCCAGCACAGGACCACCAGTGTGTCTGCAGCTGGCCTTGTGCTGGCCTATGTGTGGGCCACCTCTGGCAAACCAGATCTGGGCCACCGTCATTCTTTGCGGTGTGTGGGTTATGTGTAAGCACATTGTGTTGGCCAGATCCGAGCCATACCAATTTTGCTATGTGGGACAAACAAGAATTCAACCTCCAACTCCATCTAGGAACTGTGGCACAAAATGCCTGATAAGATGTTAACCTGATAGATGTACTTGGGGCATGTTTGCTATCTCTCATGGTATTCCGATGGCTGAATGGAAGGTAAATCAATAGACAGGTGGATAAATGGAAAGAAAATGGTGGAATACTTAGTACAAATAAATACTAAATAATAAATACTATATTTATCCATTTACTTTATTTTATGCAGCTCTTCAGATTATCCTAGCTCTTCTACCATGAGGCTGCCCTCCCTTTTGATTTGATTCAAAAGAATTTGATTCATATAGCACCAGTTCCCATCAATAGTCATCTTAACCACATTACTTTGCAAAGTAAAAACCCAACAGAATCACTAAGAGGCTTCCACTAGCAACCAGAAGGTTTGAACAGCAGGTTGATTGCGCTAATTTGCTCAGAGCCAGAGCAATGTACCTGATGTGGCCAGGTCAAAAGGACAAAAACCAACAACAAAATCTCAAACAGGGCTGAACTTTTTCTAATATCTACATACTTTTTTTTTTTTTTTTTTTTTTTTACAATGTAATATAAAAGTATTTTACTGTGTATTTTACAGTTTTGTACTGTTCTTCTAGAATATCATTAAATTTACATAAATAGACTGTGATTTTACATTCCAAATGCAAATTAACGTAAAATCACTGTAAATGTAATAAAACATAATTTTGTTTTTTTAAATATATTTGTCTGTACATATGCATATTTAGATTGTTAAAATACTTTCACAAATGGACCATAATTTCACAAATATTTGTCCGTTATTTAAAAGATTGAACTGTTAAATTCAAATGTAATGCTATGGAAAAATTTAAAAAATGATTCTTATAAACTTTTTTTACATCAATAATAATTATTATTATTATTGTCATTTAGGGCGATTGTGGCTCAATAGTTGGCAGTTCACCTTGTAATCAGAAGGTTGCTCGTTCGAGCCCCGGCTCGGACACTCTCAGTCGTTGTGTCCTTGGGCGAGACACTTCACCTACCACCTACTGGTGATGGCCAGAGGGGGAATTATAAAGTGGAATTGTAAAGCGCTTTGAGGGTCTCAAAATAAATGCAATCCATTATTATTTAAACCAACTGTTAACTGTATATTTCTGTACATTTAAGTATTATTATTCATATTGCCGCATTCATTGACCTTGTTTATAGGTAATTTCATTGTTTAATCACATTAAAGTGTTCCTAATGTTTAAAAGCACTTGAAAAAGGCAAAATCCCATGTAAAATTAGGGCAACAAACTGTATTGTCATTACTGAAAATAACCGTATTTTCATGAGAAAGTTATTTTCTGTTATTTTCTGGTATTATTTTTGCCCCCAGCTGCTGGAATATTACTGTTTTTTTGGGATTTTCTCTTTTTTACGGTGTACACTGACTACTGATTATTCATCACTTCAATCATGTTTAATATGAACATCCATCAGTTTAATAAATGACAGAAAATAAGGAAAAGTGTAATTGGTTCCCATTAAGAAACAACACTCTAAGCTAATATGTAAAATGTGCATGATACTACAAATACACTAGATGTATGTGTATGGATGGATCTGACAGTATGTGGGTGGGTTTCCTGTAGATTACTGGAGTGAAAGTGAACATGAGGATGACGCTGCCTCCAGCCCCAAACAGGACAGTCCCCCACCTCCATATGACACCTACCCACGGCCTCCATCAGTGAGTCACTCTCTCTCAAACACACACACACACTGTAAACTGTATTGCATCTCTCACAAGGTAGATATTGTACTCGGAGGCTAAATTGAGGCCTTGTGCTTCCTAGTCCACTGTAACAGTTGGAATTATTGCCAATAAAGCAATAAGTACAGATAGTGCTGAGGCTATATTAAACATAAATGTTGCTATATTTGAAGTTGAAATGGGTTGCTGTACATCATGCATCTCTGTCCTGGGCTGTTTTTTTTAATCATAGGGTAAAAGAAAGGAAACACCAACAGCACCTTGTCCATGTAATTGAAGTTACAAAACACAGGCTGCTAAGTTTTAAGATAATAATAGAGTCACTCAAACACCCCTCTGCTTTGTCTTCTTGTCTCTCACCTACCATATCACACACTTACTCAATCAGGCAGGCATGCTGATGAAATCCTTTCTTTGAAGTGTGTCATTATGGTTGAATGAAACAAGGCGATCATTTGATGTCTGCCACATTGTCTCCCTTCCTTTTTCTCTATCAGATGAGCGCCTACTTGGAAGGAGGTCGGACCACTCGGCTGTCTTCCACAGAGACGTCTCGCTCTCGCTCATCCCAAGAGGACTTCCTTTGTGGCGAGCCCCCTGCTGCAGCTGCAGAGCCGCAGTACCACCCTGGTCCTCTTGGGGGAGGAACCACACACAGTGGCAGAAAAGCAGGGGGCAGCAACAGCAGCGATGTACAGTACAGATGTGATCCTGTAGAGGTGTGTGATGATGTTTAATATTACCTGAGTTTAATGGTCTCATTTCGACAGTTCGGAAATTGTTCTTTCGACTTCGGAGCATGAATGTGCTTTTTAGTCTGAATTTACACTCTCCAGCCACTTTACTACATTCATCTATTCAACTGCTATTTAACGCTGATGCATAGTTAGCTAATCACATGACATTAACTCAGTTCGTTTAAGCATGCGGACATGGGAAAGAAGGCCTTCTGAAGTTTAAAAAGAGCATCAGAATGGGTAAGAAGTGACTTTGAATGTGGGATAGTTATTGACAGGCTGGTCTCAATATTTCAGAAAGTACTGATCCACTGAGATTTTTCCACACAACCATTACATAGTTCTACTGTGACATTCTGATGTTAAAAGAACAAGTAAAGCGTGGATCCACCCAGCTTTGCATGTATATCAATGGTTCAGCCAACTGATGGTGGTATACTATTACTAACTATAGTGTGGGACTCTTGATTTCAAATAGATTTTGTTCCTGAGTTCAGACTCTAGAAGATGATGAATATAGTGCAACAGACTGTTTCCTAATTAGAATATTATGTTTAGAGAAATACATTTTACCAACAGTAAACTACAATTTGTAATATAGGAGCTGCCTTCATATGGGACCACATGCTTTGATTGCATCTGGTAAGTCTACTGAATAATTTGTTTATCTGTTGTTTTCTGTAGTACCGCTCCAGTCCTGCTGGGGGTAGTAGTGAGACAGGGTCCCCGGGCCGCTCTTCATCATCGCAGAGGCGCTCCTGGCAGGACCTGATTGAGACGCCATTGACCGAGGCTGGACTGCACTACCTTCAAACTGGACCACTTGGTAGTGCCCAAATTCCAATTCAGTTGCTTGAACACATCAGTGTTAGTGACTTCTGTTTAAGCTGTGATTATGTTCTACAGAAAGAATGAAAACCCAATGTGTTTCTGCACACCAACATGTTTCCCAGATCTTCCCTTCATAGTGGTTTGTTGCAATATAGGTGAAAAAACATATTCTTTCCAAAATCTAAAAATGGATTAGTGTCATTTAATTATAAAGTGTAGTTTGTTTTTCATTAGTTATTAAATCGAAATCAAAGTGTCTCATATTTAGCTAGCTCGCTTGATAACAACCAGTTCTTTATTGTTCTTATTTAGTATACAGTAAACATCTATGACAGTCCAGCTCTTTCAAGAGGGGAATGTCTGAGGTACATGTAGGTTAAATGGTGTGACTGTGTTTCGGCCAAAAGAAAGTACAGCTTCAATTTTTATGTCTCCACCCTCTGTTTTCTGTCATGCAAACTCTTATTCCATTCACTGACATTATGAAACATAGACGTAGCATTTGCTTGGAAAAATTAAACCAGTGTGAAAGTGCCTTAAGCCTGCATTTTATCTCAAGGCCAAAAGATGGCGATAGTTGTGGATAGAGTCAATGAGCAATCAATTTCACAGTAAGGCACGCCCCTTCACATTTGTTTTAAAAACAAGATGACAACAGTGGAAATGCTCATCTTGAGGCTTCAAAACAAGCCTGTAGAAACCAGTGGATGACATCATGATAACATGATGACATCATGTTAGTTATGTCCATCTTCAATACTGTATCTACCTGTACCAGGAATGCCATTTTTTTTCCCTGAGCTATAAAATAAATGAGTGAATTAATTAATTAATAATTAAATCTGTACAATATGGTCTTGTATAGCAGTGTCTTATATAGAAATATAGACTTATTATATATACTTATATATACTGTATATTATACCTTTGTACTTTTCCCCCATCAAATTTAACAAAATGGTTGCTTCACTAAAAGTAACAGAACTGCAAAAAAAGTGTTTTTTTTTTAATTTGCTATATCTTAGATTGTTATTTTATTAATACCAAGAACAAGAAAGCTTTTCCAGAAAGTGTGCCATTAAAATTTTGAAAGGTCCACACACAGAGCAGAATTTCTAGTGTTTTGACAGGAACTACTCTCTGCTCAAGAAAGCGCCCCCATGAAAACTGTCTGCTATCATCTGTGATCATCAGCTTCAGCTCCCCCTCATTAAAATCAACTTTGACCCCTGCCTGCAATGATATTTGTCAAATATTTTGTGCAGCTGCTGATGCAGCTTGAAGCTTGTGTGTTTTATATATGATCTTGTGTTTAATAGTAATGTATGTGTTAAGTGTTCTTTCTGATGTTCCAATGTGGACAGTGGCTTTAAAGCTGGAATAGCAATGTGTCTCTGATTCAGTCAGAATATATTTAAAATAAATGTTACTGTATTGAAAAGAGTGTTCTTTTAAAGAAATGAGTCATGTTGCATTCATGACTCAAATAACAGCAAATCAATTTTCTTCTCTTTTCGTTGCAGAGGACGCCGTCTTTGCTGAGCCAGGTGGTGGCTCAATGATGGCCGGAGCCGTTTACACTCTTCCTGCTCCGAGGAATGTCCCGTTGCCCATGGCAATGCAGAGGCTGATTCCTATGGCAACCCAGGGAGGGAAACCCCGCAGCTTCACACTGCCACGAGACAGCAACCTCCACACGCTCCTCGCACCGCCTGCAAAAGAAGAACAGCAAACACACAACGGTGAGTTCATGCTGGATCAGGCTTTTGGTGTGAAATGCTTACAAGGGCACAGAGAGCTTAAAGCTAATCCGGAAGCATTATTTTTATTCACTATGTTTTAACACCAAATCAACACTACAGTAAAGACAAAAGCAGCATTCATTATACAGTACACAGAGATTTTAGGCAATAAAAATAAAGCGAAAATACTTTAATCAGACTATGAACCAGCCACAACATCTGAACATTGATGCAATTTAACAGTTAAAACTTGCTACCAGACAAGCAGTGTTGCATTAGAAAAAAATAAATTCAAATAACAGAGAAACATATGAAATGTTATATAGGGGAGAATAATGAGCTCTCCTAAAGGATTGCACAAATGGTTTAAACCAGCCGTTCCCAAGCTACATGGTCTTCTTTAAGGGCCATTAGTGAGGTTGCTGCTTTGTCTGAAAGCAAGAAAAAAGCCTCACAATTCAAACTTTGAAAACCTCTTTTAACAACAGAATTTCATTATGTTGCTATGAGACTGCAAGCAGCCACGTCTGTGGATGAAAACTAAAGCCAATGCAAAATTCCCCACTGCAGAACTGCAGTTCCTCTCTTGACCACTTGAGGCTGGCCCAAAGCTGTGTTTTAACCTTTTAGAGCCATTTAACTCATTCACTGCCAGCCATTGGCAGTGAATGAGTTAAACCCATTGACTCATTCACTGCAATTGACGGCTATAGACGTCAATGGCAGTGAATGAGTTAATTGAATTAAATGCCAAAAATGATATGGCCTGCTGCGAGTTACAGTTCATTCTAAGTGAAATTCTAGTATTTTATCAGTCTGTTACTAAGCACCAATTATCGGTTTCTAAGCACCAGTATCCGTGTCTATGCTTTGTACCTGTGTGGTTTTTGGATGCAGATTGCTACACATGCTCACTACCCTTAGCTTATAACTTAGGGCTTTCAAATTCAGTAACTTGTGGGAGCAAAAACACCAAGATTGAGGTTTTCTGTAGTCCAAAACCAATGGGTGATGCCACGATGACTATGTCTAGCTTTTATATACAGTCTAGTTTTCATGACATTTGTTGAATTGCTATGTGCTGCACGCTATTTTCACTGCAAGAGCTTAATGAGGGAAAATACTTCCAAGTACTTAATATTGCTCCATAATAACGGGGGCTCGGGTGTTTCATACAATGACAGCTAATTCTGAGCTAGTTGTAGCCACTGACAAAAATAATTGCATGTTTGACCTTCTCGATTTCACTGAAGGACAAAATATTTTATGTTGGGGATTAACTCAGTAGAAGAAGCTGGTGCTGCTCTCAGTGATGCATTTTTTGGGTAACAGCAGAGCGTAAAAATGTGTCTCGCTGTGAATGACAGCCACTAGAGACTGAGGGGGAGGGGGAAAAAGGAAATTTCTTTTTAAGGTGAAGATGTCAGCACATGTGCCACATATAAAAACTGCTCTCAGGCACAGACATATCCATTTAAATCATCATCAGCTTGAAGCAGAGCACACTGCAGTCATACATTGATCTAATGAGGCTAATGACACCACGGTGCTCCTGTTGCCAAGGTGAGGCAAGCAGCATATGAAAAGAAAGGACTGCAAGAGTAAATAAGACTGATTTATGTAATAGCATGATATATGTTGCATTTGTTAGGGAATGGATTGAACAATCAATTATAATGTGAGCAAGGAAATAAAACTGCCAAAGTGATGAGGGCGTCCCTGAGGCTGACAGGATTTTCTCCTCGTTAATAATCCTGCTGTGACTAATACAAATCATTACACAATGTCGTAGATGTGTCGAGGTGTGCTGCTGTCCTCCAGTGGTTGATCTGAGATATAACTTAAGGCGCTCCCCGGCCTTTTAGCTTCTAATCCTGTAACAGATGTGAAGCAAAGAGTTCAACTCAACATTGAATGTGCGGGTCTCTGTTTCCCCTCTGACTGCTCTGAAGGTGGCAGTGAAGGTGCCTCGCTGGGCGACCTGTTTCGTGCGTGCGAGCAGGGTGGGGTCTGTCCTCTGGGTCGGGGGTCGGAGTCCAAAGGTCAGTCAGAGTTCAGGCAGTCATTTCTCCGAAGGGCCGCTGACCCTCATCTCAACGAGCGCCTGCACCGCCTCCGCATACTGACCTCCACGTTGAAGGTTGGTCCTCACTCTCATTCATATAGACACATGCGCAAGACGAGCACGGGGGCACGCCAAACACATGCACACTTACAGAGGCACAGGAGGATTTTAATTTCTGACGAGACGACTGACCTTTCCCTAACCTCTCACCCAAACTCTTGTCGATGTTTGTACAGATGTAGACACCGGGTTTGTGTGATGCATTTCTGGCCATTTGAAATACTATAAAAAAACAAACCAGCGTACAAACATTTTATAAGCAAGACGTTTACCACATTTGAAGAAATAAAAAAAACTAACATTTCAGTTAAAGTTGTTTTTTTATGTTTGTGGTGCATTTATTTTCACTTGTACAAAATTAATTGCTATTGCAGTGTACTGCTGATACTGACAGTATGTGTGTGGGATACTGGTCTCGAACTCCAGTCCTCGAGGTCCGGTGTCCTTTCCATGTGTCCCAGTTGCAACACACCTGAACACAATTAGTAGGTCATTAGCAAGACTCTATCCGATTGTTCAGTCTGACGTCACTAGCCGTGTCTGGGCCTAAACTCCGCTACAGGTCCATATATCAAACGATCACTATGGCATTACTGAGAGTTGAAAAACTGTCTAAAGTCTTTCATCTTTAATAAAATGATCAGCGTTCTGCTCTACCAGGTGTAACAATTGAGTTTAACATCCAGGCATCCATGAAAATGGAATTTATGACATATAACGGAGTTAGAAGTTAGCAGGAAGTTAGCTCGCTAGCTTCTATCTAAATACAATATAGCATGTCCTGACTGTGGGGTTTTGGAAACAAATTAAAACGTACAGCTCTGTTATCACTTCCAACATAAATGTAGACAGAGAACTAAACAGCAGTGACGTTTGTAGGCTTACTGAAGTTTGGCTAGCTGGTATATAATGATGTGCTACGTGACCGCTAGCGACACAGCTATGTTAGCATAATATAAACAAGCTAACTTTTTTCCCACTCGATAAAAGTTAACGTGAGTGTTCTCGGTGGTAAGGAACAAATGTAATCGCATGGCAGGATGCTGTAAAAGGACCAAACTTCAGCCAGGAGAACAACTGAGATAATCCATCCACAATACGAGGTTAGTCATTCATATACTGCTGCATGGGCTGGGCTGTAGTTACATCCTAAGGTTTTAAAAACTGAGTTTAAATAAATGATTAGCGGTAATAAAAGCTGAGGGAGGTCAACAGTAATCATTGACTGTTTTAGGAGCTTTTTGAGATTAAATAGAAGAAAATACATAACATTAAACATGTTAACAACACAAAAGCCAAACGCAGACTACTTTAGGCCCGGAAGTAGGATTCGCCACGTCATCACTTAACAACCGGATAGAACTTAGGTGGCAATTCAGCCATTTGATTCATGTTACAGCAGCTCATGAGTGAATGAACATGGTGCAATAAAAGTACTTTTAGGAGTAAATTTTTCCAAACACTTAACATTGACTTAAATTTACTTGAGTAGGATTAGTGTTTCAACATGCAGTCAAGTTCTATACTCTTGCTAGTGACCTACTAATTTTATTCAGGTGTGTTGGAAAAGAGAAACATGGAAAGGTTTCAGGATACCAGCCCTCGAGGACTGGAGTTCGAGACCCCTTCTCTAGATAAAATATTTGCTGGAGAAAAGTAATGCAATAAAAAAAAGTATTTTACGACAGAAGTTAAAAGCAAAATTGTATAGAAATCCTGTCATTTGTGTTTGCTGGCTCGGTATGCAACTGTTAGCCAATGAGATGTTAATTTTGGTGAACAGCCTCAAAACAAACTATATCTGCCAAAACAGGTGTACAGACGACTCCTTACAGTGTCTTTCAGTAGAGACTCATAACCTTAAACTCAAAGCGGCCACACCCTTAATGATCCATAAGTTTAACCTTTAACCGAGTTTAAAGAAGGATACAGTTTGCATGCTAAAAACACAAAATCCATTTTTCCAAACATCTTTATTTGTGCTGTAAATTTGGATATTTTGAGAATCTATGGAGATTGAATCAGTATTGGAGGCGGCCTCAAAGGGCCTTTTGAGAAGCTGCAGCTTTGAGGCATTTCTGCATTGGCTTTATTTTCAGCTCTTCTGTGAAATCTGTAAAACGTTTGACTAGGACACAACACGATGGTTAACAGAATTGCTCTCGGGAACAGACGTTTGCTTACTAAAAACAACGAAATGGACCTCAGTAAGAGAAGTTGCTGCCAGTAGGTACTCACACAAACAATAAAGGCATATAGGAACAGACACTTTTGAGTCTGGAGCTTAGCAAAAGGTCAGTTTTGTTGAACTTTATTTTCCTTCCATAGAATTCAATTTTTGTGAAATGCAACACTGTATTTCACCTCATATTATTAATCTTACAGGTCATACTCCTCTAAAATCTTATCAGAAACTGCCTCCTCCCCATTCCTTCTTCACAAACCTTTTGAACTGTAAGATTTCTTGAAATAATGGTTTACTTCAGAAATTGTGCAAAGGCTATTGACCTCAAGGCAAAACGTGCTGCTTGTAAAATAGAAACACTTTTTCTCATCTGTTCAAAAATAAAACATTTGTTAAAGCTATGATAAGACAGAAGAATGGCTCTCTCCATGAGGATTTATTTCATAATTGTATATTTATGATAATTTCTGACTGTGATGCACACATAAACACCGCTCATGTGCTGGAAGATGTCTGTCTTGTTAGTTTTAGTGGCGTTATCTGTCACAGTGTGTCTCCTCAGAGTCCTCAGATGTCAAGCAGCCGTCTGTTGCTTCATGCTGTCTGAGCAGCAGTGATGCTCCCAGGCTGGGTGGCTCTTTTGCTGTTTTTTTTATGTCTCTAGAGTTTGTTTCTTTGTTGCTTCCTCCGTGTATGGGGGCGGGATGGCAAGTGAGGGCATGGAGGCTTTATTGCTTGCAGGTACATCAGGTTTTTTTTGTCTGGTTGGGTGGGGAAGCTTATGTGTTTGTTTGCTTGTCTCGCGTCTTTTAAAGGTATATACCAAGCTTTGGGGGGAGCATGGATGAAAAGTTTCACAAATAATCTTCAGAAGACACCACAGTGACCCTAGTAGAGGCTACATTTTAATTGCTATTTACAAGGGATCAGGTTGGATTTGTGCGTTCAGGCAGCATCAACATATCTGCAGTGGTTGCTGTGGAAACAACAAAGGATTTCATATTTTCTTTGTGTGTTTCTGCACATTAAAATTGGACCAAAACAACATGATACATTTGAATGAGAATGTGATGGCAGAAGGAATAACAAGAGAAGAGATTCGTGTGTTGTGTTTAATAACAGCTTCAGCACAAAGTCGAAGATCATGAAGTGCTAAATTAGAAATAATCTACTACTGACTGAACATTAACTGAAGCAATGTATATTTCACCATCACGATACCGCTGTCATATAGCAACATATCATCGTTGCCTTTCAATTATACACAATTTATTAACAATGATTTCCCATGTAATTTAGAAAAGAAAGTTGACAGTGCTGTCACAAAAATGTTTGTAACTGCTGATGCATTTTAAATTCATTAACTTGAACAAAGAGGCTTAGATAAGTTATAAAGAAAGAAAGATCCAGTGAATGTGTTTAACTTTTATCAAACAAAGAGGAACTCGTTTTTAAAGGGGCTAATACAAATATTAGACATCTACAATTAGAATCGCACAATTAGATCATTGCTTTAAAAAAAAAGTTAAAAAACATTATTTCATTTATTAGCATCTGAAGAATGTAACTTGTCAAACAGAAACATTTTTAGTTTTCTGATGTATTATGATAGGAAAAAGGTGACTTTTCAAAAAACAAACCCAGTTTTAAATATGAATTTAATAGGTTTTTAATATAAATAAAATAAATAATACATTTTTATAAATGCTTACAATCTTTTTTTTTTTTCAATAAGACCTTTTTATTTCTTAAAGTAGCCGCAAAAGTGGGTCTGTTACAACACTTGGAAACTACATTTAGCCAAGTATTATATTTTGACTCTTACTACTACTGTTACTGCTAATAATAGTAATAATCATCTTAAAAATGATCATTTTAATCATAGTAATTCATGATATAGTCATATCAGTTATCAAGCAGTATCTAATGATAATATCAAACACTAGGCTATTCTAGCTGAAGTTGAACAGTATAGTATTTTTTTATTCACAATTCGTACTTTTACTATCGGTAGCTGTGTTTATTTTGATGCTTCTTTTAGTCCTAACTCAGAGAAACGTCAACACTTTGACATGCTTACATCGTTCTTCTATAAAAGTTTTTGTGGTAATCATCATGCAAAAGTTATTACTATTGTGTAATTAAAATGCATTACTGCATCAGTATATATTAACAATAGTGTATTTAGTGCCTTAATATACTGCATACTGCCCAAGAATATTAAATATTAATTTAAATAGGTTTTAATAAATGTCCTACAAGTGGATTAGTTAATAGTAGATAATGTGCTGAATGATGAACTAAGTAGTAATTTAAAGGTGTTTCAAAATGCGATACTGAAATTTACCAAATTATATACACTGAATTACTTCAAAAGTAGCCCATGCATTCATTGTGAATACACATGGAAGGTAGTGAATATATTCAGTAGAGCAATGACAGATGAAAACGGTTGTTTTTTAAGTGTTCTATGCAAGGTGATCACATGTCAAATCTCCCCAAATCTTAGTGTATCCCCATTAAGTGTGTGTCTTGCTTTCCGTGTGTCTGCGTCTTAAAGAAGAGCGATATTTTGAAAAGTGACCCGCCCCTCCTCTGTTTCTGCATCCCCCATAGGACAGGGAGGGGGAACTAGCGCTGATTGACAGGCTGCTGGCCAAACCCCAGCTGTCGTCGGCAGAGTTCCAGGAGTGGAAGAGAGCCTATCAGGAGCTGTTCACTCAGGAGCCGAACTCGGCCGCCGACTCAGATCCTGGCCCGCCCCTCACCCCGTCGCTCTCTCACACGCACTCCTACATTGAGACGCACGTCTGACGCGAAAAGCAAAAGCAACACACACGCTTAAATTGCTCTCATCAGCTGATTTTGGATTGAGTTGAACAAATTGCAGTTGATGCTTTGAGGCATCAGAGCTGCGATCGGAGAAATCTTAGTGACGAACTGAGTCGAGAGGCGAGAGTAGAGATGCGCTTTGAGCAGCCACCGTGTGACAAGTGCAACATGACGTGTTTTTGCGAAGACCCTCGTGTCACATCAGTCTTCGAGCTGATTGGTCATGCCACTCCAGATGGCTCGAGGGTGGACACTGACACTGATTCTTGAGTATTATATGTTAGCTTTTGTGCTGCGTACCTAAAATACTCTCCATGGAAAACCATATAAAGAAGGATCTTCATCATCTTCATACAGACTTCTCATCCAGTGGGATTACAGAGTTGTATCTTTCTCCATCTTGCTTATTGTGCCATTTTCATACTGTGACTGCACAGTGTCTCATAGACGCTCTAATAGCCACATACGTTGTATTCTTTCAAGCCTTATACTTGATGTCTATGATGATATTTACTGTACAGTGAGTGCTACAGTAGACAACAATAAGCAAAGGTCTTTTTAAAAAAAAAAAAAACAAAACACTAGTCTCAGTTTCTATCTAGTTTTAGAGACTTTTGTTTGTGCTGGTTTGGTAGATTCGTGTACTGTGCTGGGCTGGACCTGAAGCATGCACACTCCTCCTGGAATAGGACCCATTTGAAGGAAAAATCCACCCTCAAATGCTTTTCTAGCAATGCATCAGGCATCACATGGTGTAGTTAGGAGCCCATTATCTGCTGTTGCTTTATTATTGAACTTCAGTTCACACTCCAAAAACACAGTATGCCTTTCACAAACTGCCATTTACTGCTTTATAACTTCGCATATGCACATTAAAGCAGTGTGGTTTTTACATTTGGAAAAATAGAACACTACATGCAGTTAAATCTGTTGTACAGACATATACAGGCATAAATAGAGAACAACAGTTATTCTTGTTGCTTCGAGAATAAAAGCTTGCAATGATCAAGGGAGTTTTCAAGTTTCTTTTAAAATTTTTACACAATAGTAAATAAAATAGGATCTTTTAACGATACTTTTATTAATTGCAAAACAAAAACAGCTACTAGAAATGTCTAATGTTTCATTTACGTTGTATACATATTGAAAGCTGCATTTTAATGACATGTAAACAAATACTAGGTGCCATCCACAGAAAGAGGAAAATATAATGTTACATGGCTTTACTTAACATTTCTTGCAATGATGATAAAAGGTTTTGTCTTGCATTATAATTATTATTGCACTGAAAATTAGAAACTTGGTCTAACTATAGATGGAGCTTCCTAAATCTGAGAGAGCTTCTCACTGATGAATATTCTTTTTAGCTTTTGCAGATATGAATGTTTATATATAGTATAGTAAAAGAAGTACAGTTCTGTTCCACCTATGTGCAGTTGCCAGCTCCCAATCTAGAACTGGTTTAATACCCAAAAATGGCACCAGTCAACACAAAATTACTGGACCCATAGTTTGAACCATTGACATCAGTGATTATGGGAAGAACTGATGCAAGAAATTCACCAATGATTGGCAGATTCAGCCCACAGGTTCTGTTTGCTATGATTTTCTTTTCATGTAAATAAATCCAACTTTTCATATCTTCCACAATTTGGGCAAGTCAAATTAGGATTACTCCCTCCATTACCCAGTCAAGTTGCTTCCATGTCTGTCTTAACATTAATTTAACATTTTGGATATATGAAATTTTGTCAGGTTATTGACAAAAGTGTGTTTCAACCCTTAAGCACTAAAATCCAATCAGTTTATCCTTGAGTTCAGGTGCCAAAATTGAAGAAATCGCCTCAAAATTTTTAAGAGCTATCAATATTGAAACAATACAGTGAACTGATGGATGAAAGCCATAGAAACATGCTGTCTCCAGCACTAGAGTTTTGGTTTTTCTTATGCAGTGTATTTGTACATAATACCAGATAAAAGCTTTTACTTCAGATGTACCTCTTTGATATTACCTTAAGTGAAACTTTCATCAACACAAGGGGACATTTTTCCATTGGACATGTGGAAATATTTTGCCTTTTGTAGGCCACCTTTGTATTGGCTCAGTCACACTAGAGTAAAGATAGATTAACAACCTCTATGCAGCTAGGAAAATTTGGTGGGTGCCTGGTAAGTGCTTTGAAGGTTTTTTTTCTGTCAGAGGCTGATTGTAAGTAGTTACGAAACTTGAGCGTGCAATACCCTCGACCATATTATCACAGATCTAATATATTTGCCAACTTCACACCATTCAACTGACTGACTCCATCTTATTATTATTTTGTTTCCGTCTTTACTCACTAAGGTTGCTTTGAGTACAGAAACCTAATGCAAATGGTTGCAGATTAGTTCCCCATCCCTGAAGCAACCATTTCAAAGACAATAAAATGCCAATGAAGTTCATTTCACAAGTTTGTGTCACACAGTCTTAATAATTTTGGTGTTGTTACAATGTCCAGCTATTGATTTACCTACTGAGACTGCAGCATAAATAAGAATCTTTATAACTTGCCTCGTTAAATGAAGGTCACATTGACTCACTGCATCATCTTGTGGTACAAAGTGGTATTACACAAGTATAGCCTAGCCTTGTTTCAAATTTTGTTGATATTTTTTCAGCACAAAACTTTTTTTTTTTTTACATTTTTTAATACATGACGCATTATATACATGAAATTTACAAAAAAGTACACTGCAATTCTCTAAGCCGTAATATCATTGATATATGAAATTTTATAGATCTACCCAAATCTTATTGTAGATTTTTGAATTTGCACAAATGTAACTTTAAATAAAAGCGCATTTCTATCTAGTTTTTAGGCAACTGCTACTTCCAGACATGGACGTTATTTTCATTTGGTTTTCAGTGCCTTATATGGCATCCACACTCCTAGTAATACAGGTGTATGAACTCTGGAAAGTTACTGTTTCACCCCAAAAGCCTCCAAAAATATTTAAACCAAAACAAAAAAAAGCAAAGAGACATTTTTAGCACAGAAAGATTTTCTGAACATCGCAGATTTATAGTACTTAAAAGAATGCAAAAGTTTCTAAGGGTGGATTTTTCCTTGGAGACCATTTGGCTCTCTGTATCCTGCATGTCGCATAGAGAATATGAGGCCATATTTGCATAGGAACTGAAATATGAATCTAATAAAAATATATTAGTTTGTTATTTGTAGGCTATGCTGTTGCCAAAAGACTTAATACTCAAAGTCAGTGCACAAAACTATGAAAGCAATCATAAATACATATAAACACACACACAACTACACACAATAATAAGCACATAGACTGAATGCTCTTTCTCTGCTGCTGCCCGTGGTTGGTTGTAGTAGCATGTCTTTGTTATAGATGAAAACAGTATTCTTTTTCCTGTTTTTGTGTTTGAAATCTTTACATACAGTAGATCTCTATTTATAGAGCGCAAACTAAGTGTCTTGGAAGATAGTCTCTAATTCTAGTTCAGTTTTTTTTTTCTTTTTGGACAGACTGTCGTTGAGTAAAGATTGTTTAATGTTCGATCTATAAATTATGGTTAATTAAAAAAAACAGTATTTATTTATGTAATCATTCTATATGCTCTCTTGAAAGATGAGGATGGATCAATAAAATGTTGGTCATTTCGATGAAAGTGTTTTTTGTGGTCTGTTCTGTGAAAATTAGTCCATATTGATATCATAAATTCAGCTTTTAAAATGCTATATACGTAAAAGTACCACAAATAAAAAAGTACCAATGAATGTAAAAGTAACAAGGACTTTCTGCAATAAATTTCCCCTTTGACAAATATAATTTATTCTACATATTACACTGCACAAATACATACATAAATAAAACAGCTTATTATTACAGTATAATAAGTTAGTTAAACTCCAGGGATATCAAGCTGTCTGGCTTTCCTTTGGTAGCCAGAAGTATTCTCAAATCCTCACTCATTATCTGATAGTTTAGTCAGAAACATGCACACGAGCAGCCTGTTGGAGGTCACTTTGTAGGGCTCTGGCAGTGCTCCTGTTTTTCCTCACACACTGGAGCAGATATTGATGCTGCTGCTGGCTTGATGGCCCTGTCCAGCTCTCCTCATGTAACACCCCATCTCCTGATATCCTCTAAACTGTTAGACTCAGGGTTTTGTGTTCTGTGGTTTGGTCGGCCATTTCAGTTTTGCACAGTAGCATGTCACAGTTCCCTCATGTTTTGGTTCATATCTAGTTCTGTTTCAGTTTGGTTCATATTTCTTTCCTTGAGTTCCTGTGTATTCTTGCCTCCCCTGTTTAGTCGTGTCTCCGTGTTTGTTTATCTGTGTCAGTTTTGCCTCAGTGTTAGTTGTTTCCTGTTTTATTTTGATGGTCTCCAGTCTCTCGTGCTGTATATTTGGTTCTGTTTCCCTTGTCTTGTCTTCTGTGATTACTTCAAGTTGTGCTCCCACCTATTTCCTCTTCCCTCATTACCTGGTGTATATTTATTGTCTGAGTCTTCCCTTGTTCTCTGCCTCTAGGCTGTGTGCACCCTTGTTCTGTGGTTTCCCCTAGACTCCTATTGTTTTTGTTCCTGGTTCCAGCCCTGCCTTGTTTTTGTATTTGTGCATTTTTGAAAAATCTTCAGCATTAAAGCTGTGTTCATGCACTGTCTCCAGTGTCCTGTAGTCTGGGTCCACATCCTACCTGCAATACAATGTTATATGACACTGTCCATGGACATAAAGCAAATATTTTTGTGATGGCTTGAGGAGCTGGACTATCTGTGTAACCTGAAGACTGCAGTTACCGCTCCAGCGATTAGGACGCTGGCAAAAAGCAAAACTAGAGGAAAATCAGTGAGGCAGGATAAGGAGAGAGCTGGTCTGTGGCCACCACCTGCAAAACCTTTCCCTTTTTTGGTGTTGCCTTGTTGTTGCCTCTCTGTCACTTTCATTTGCTCCAAAAATGTATGCTTCCTAAATGGACAGATTGAGTTCCCTGAAGAGTACCTGACTCACGTTGTGTTATACTGTGATAATCGTGTGGTACCTTAACTTCTTTGAGCAGCATATGTGACTGATCAATTTGCAAACAGCATATGTTAGCTTGTTTTATTTTAATTTAAGAAGCTAAGTTTACTAGTCCTCATCCAAATAAATCTGAGAATCTGTGAAATGACTGACAGGAGAAGAAAGAAGGAGCTTTTTGGACATTTTCCTGTGAAAAACTGTCAGAGATCTAAAGATTGCTTTTTACAATGTCAGGACAAGATTTACATTTCAGAATTGTTGGAATCAACTTTTTTGTTCTTTCCAAAGGTTTTTTTTATTGGATGAAAAAAAATCACACAACATCTATTTTCTTAGACTCTTATCCGATTCAAGGTCATATGAAGGCTGGAGTCCCCACAGCCTATCCTCTTTATTCACAACGGGTTGCCACAGTGGATAGATCTACATGTTTTGATTTGGCACACATTTATGCTGGATGCCTTCCTGATGCAAGAGACTTATGTCTAAATCTCAACAAAAAAATCTTTCTATAAATTAAATGGTAGCTACTACAAATAGAAGCTGTGGACCTAGTGGAAAAAATACATTTCCCTCTGACATGTTGGGAAAATAAAAATACTTCAGTAAAGTACAAATTGGTACTTGGTTTCTTTATGCCATTTAGGAATTTAAATCTCTGTAGCTATCTACATAGATTTATCTAATCTATGTATCTAATTTATCTAATCGATTTATCTAAAGTACCTACCAAATAAATGTGGCTAAAATTGCTTATATTTAGCTTAGCTACACAGTATGTGGTGCACTATTAGGCTGCATTAACTTGATTACTCTTAAGAAGATAAATAACAACCAGGTGCTGCTGATCAGATCTAATTAATTAATCGTCAGCAACTGTAAAAAGTTCAATAAAAGCTGATGTTCTGGCAGCTTGCTGGTCTGGAGCCACCAGGAGTGGCTATCCAACTAAATTTACCCTTTTTTTTTTTCTTTTGAAATGTAAAGTTGCACCTGAACAAACTACATGGGACTAATGATTTGGACTTGTTTTACAGCCACAGGACCTGGGCAGTCACTGAGTCGGTCATGAGCTCCTTTTTGCACCAAAGTATTCTAGAGTCAAACGTGAGGCCATCTGTCCAACAGCTAAAGGCTGAAATTGGGTAATGCAGCAGGACAGTATTTTCAAACACAGCAACAAATCTACTGAAGAAGAAAAGAATCAAGGTGTTGCAATGGCCCAGTCAAAGTCCAGACATCCACCTGATGCTGTGGTGGGAAATGAATGGCAGCAAATGTCAGTGAATTCAATGAAGTTTGGCTCATTCTCAAAAAGAATTGTAGATCTAAGTTTGTACACAACGATTCAAAGCATTGCTGCTAAAGGTAGTTTTGACATAACTTTATGCATTATTAGTATTAAATCCGTAAATAATTATCTAGCTAATTATCCAAAAAAGGTGACAAAAAAGCATTAAAGGAAAAAAAAGCTGAGTCTCAGCTGTGACAGTGAGAACTTTCCTGATGTAATATTGTCATAATCACACTTTAGAGCATGGTAGCTTGAAATTAACATTTCATATTTCCACTTTTATTCTTTTTTTCAGACATTCATTTAACTCAGATGGTGTTCTAAATAAGTAATATTTTTGTAGATAGCACAGTGTGCATTCAGACTTAAATGGAAACAGATACAAGCACAAAAGTGCATCAGTAATGATCTCCAGCAGTTACCAAGCTATTACCCAGAAACGCAGATGCTTCTCTCTAATGCTTTTCTACTCTGCAGCTTCATCCTTCTTTGTCCATTTGACTGTCAGTGCAGATGAAGTGGAACAAGAAAACAAAAAAAGAGTCTCACACAACATCCTTGTTTTGCTGCTCTTTCTATATCTATCAAATAGAAAACTTCAATTATTCATAGGTAAGCTGCAATGCTGCACACTTTACAATTTCTATCTGCAAATTCTGCAAGATATTCTCCTTAGTTTTGCTGTTGTTGTTATTTCAGCACTGTCACCCTCACCTTCATCACCTTATTGGCTGTTTTTTGTTTTGTTTTGTTTTTTTACTTCTCTATTTCATCCCGCAGCTTGGCCTCATCCTGAAAACTCATCTGTTTGAGTGTTACCTTCTTCACACTGAATCTGTTTACCTCCTCTGCTTATTCCCAAAAATCCCATTTATCACACAGCTTAGCCCTTGTTTTTCTCAACACACAATTACATTGGAGTGACACTCTTTGGAATATTTGGTGACCCTTCCCTTTTACATACTTACATACTGTAATTAACTTTCAGTGAACTAAAAGTAATCTGAATCAATCCGGCATATGCTCAAAAGAGCTGCAAGGAAAATGCCACAGTGCTCAGCCTGTATAGTTTATATGTGAGATGTTTAGTTGAAAATGCTAATCTTTTCTTCATACTGAGTTAGTTAGAATAATTTTATGATTATCTCTAGAGCAAGGAGGTTGGGTTATAGCAAAGAACATAAACAGCATAAAACATAGATGTAGCCACTTTCCCGTTTTCCACTGCTTAGTGAAATCCCATTTTGAAGCCTCGAGCCATGTTGGCTCGTTTGCTAACAATTTCACAAGTCATTAGCCAATGAGCATACCCTGATTTATTCTCCTTTTTGATTGTTACAAAATGGACCCAATGAGTTATGCAGTAGGTGACTGAGTACATAAACAGGTATAAGAAGCCAGGTCAATGCCTGGGTCAATGCCTGGCTTCTTATGAAATCTTTAGGACAGAAAACTTTTTCACAACTACAAAAGTTGATCCCTAGTGGTCATTAAAAAGAATTATGAACTTAGCTATACTTTGTAGTAGTTTGGAAGTAAAACCCCACCCCAACCGGTCATGGCAGATGGCCGCCCCTCCCTGAGTCTGGTTCTGCCAGAGGTTTCTTTCTGTTAAAAGGGAGTTTTTCCTTCCCACTGTCGCCAAAGTGCTTGCTCATAGGGAGCCATATGATTGTTGGGTTTCTCCGTATGTATTATTGTAGGGTCTCCCTTACAATATAAAGCACCTTGAGGTGACTGTTGTTGTGATTTGGCGCTGTATAAAAAAAATTGATTGAATTGAATTGAACTTAAATATCCTCTTTGAGAGAGTTTTTCTATTTATGCTGTAAAACCATGCCACCTGGAGAACATGTGAGTTTCATTATACAACCTATGTTCATTCAAATTAATCAAATTTTACAGCTAAATCATTTTACAAATTGTAAAAATACTATTAACTTAAAGTTTACAGATCAAGGCTATTGGTAAGCCAGCAGCACTGGGGAATAAAGCAAAGAAATCTATCCACAAATTGTTACATTTTAATTTTTAATTCTGTATTTTAAATTCTCTGTTTTCCACTCTGGCTTTTGGCTTTGGAATCCAATAAGTGGTGGGGAAACTCAGGACTACGTGTGTGTGTGTGTGTGTGTGTGTGTATGTATGTATGTATGTATGTGTATATATATATATATATATATATATCCATGCTAGGCATTGCTATTGAGGTTGAGTTAAAGTAAAATGATAAGCCAGGTGATAGATGTTGGGTGCGATGTACTTTTTAGTTAACAGAAGATTAAAACTTAACTAAGGTTAATTGTTTTTAACTTTTAAACACAATTTTCATATTCATATTCATATACACACACTCAGAGAGCCACTGTAGAAGGCAAAAAGAGCTCTGGTTTGAGAAGTTTAACATAGCCAAGTTCAACAGAGCCAAGGTTTCTTAGTGTTAGCTCACATAAAAGGGCCATTTGATATTTGACTGCACAAAATTGACCAGCTATTCCAAACAGAGACAATATGATAAGGATCTATAAAGAACATAGATTATATACAGTAAAACACAACATTGCTCCTGCTGTAAATAAGATTAGTGAGTCTAAAGCTACAGAAATTGTTAATTATATGATTTGATCCCCACAAGTGGCCAGTAATATATTGGTGTTACTGCTCAGTTTGCCCTCGGTGTTGCTGTTTGTTTCTAAACTGACAGACACATATTAGAGCTCTGAAACTTTACACTTCATACACTTAAACATTAGAGGTTACTCAGTGTGCTCCCCGCCAACTGTGTCCCTTGATACTGCTGGTCATAAATAGCTTACACATGTAACTCATCAGTTTTCTAATCTATGGTGCAATGTTTAATGTTAAATAAATACTTGACAGCAGGATTAGAACCGAACCTAATAAATAAATAAATTAAATTAAAATAAATTTGTAAATAAAATAAAAAAACAGTCACTTTGGTTAATAAAAAAAAAAACCCCTCTAAATATCATATTTGTTTTTAAAGGTTATGTTAAAGTTTCTGTTAAACTAATATAAGCTTAGTTTTACTGGCACTAGCTTCATCTTTAACACAAACACATAAATGCATGCACGTGTGGGCGCGGGCGCACACGCACACAGATATTTATTGGTCTTCTCATATATCTTCCTGGAAAATCTACAAGTGTTGAACTAAGCAGCAGCAAACAATAATTTACCATAAAAGCTGGGATAGGGACATCAGCTAGCATTGCTATGGCTAACCAGCATTAGCCTTTTGTTTGTCATAAAAAAATAGGGGTTTATGAAGATTATACACTCACTTGCCACTTTTTCAAGTGTTCAAATGTTATGTTATTGCAATACCTAATCAGTCAATTATAGCATCATGGACCTGAACCCAACAGATATGCAGCAACTTTATGACGCTATCATGTCAATATAGACCAAAATCTCTGAGGAATGTTTCCAACACCTTGTTGAATCTATGCCATGAAGAATAACGTTATGAAGGCAGAAGGAATCCAAACCCAGTATTAGAAAGGTGTTTCTAAAAAAGTCTTTGGTGAGTGTATCCGTTCAGACATTACAAATAATTCTTACAAAATAGTAGTTGCTAGGTTTCTTAAAGAATGAAACCAGAGAAAAGCCTTTATCCACCTATTACACAAAATATTTAAAACCTTTAGGGTTAAGGAAAAAGATATGAGCTTTGTTTGGGATTTTTATATAACTCTAGATCAGAAATATTTGGATTATCTTGAAGAAAGTTAGCCTAGCCTAGCCTAACATAAATACTGGAAACAGAAAAAACAGCTAGCTTAAAATGAATTAAATAAAACCTTAGGGTACATCTTTAATCAATGTAGACATAAAAGTGTTAAAAATTATATACTGTGTTTGGCTGTGTGCCTTATGCTAAGCTAACCAAACTGCTTTGTTGCTGTACACCTTCATGTGTCAAATGCAAATAAGTGTAGACAACACGCCTTAGGCTAGCTGTTAGTAGGAGAAAACTAGTTGTTTGATATTTTTCCCTAGACCAGAAAGACCAGAAATAATATTAAAAAATAAAAGTATTACAACTGAGGAAGTTGTTAAGGGCTGCAAGGTAGTAAACATTTCATGTTCCCCAACCTAGTTTCCCGCACAGGCCCCAAAGACTATTGCTCAACTATGAGCAATATCCTTATTTCTGTGTTTTAGTACCCAAAACCTAGAGTTTGAACAGCCTGGGGAAAATGGGGGTAAAATCTACTACATTGTGGTTGATTTTAAAGCATTTGCTCAGCATTTTGATACCATATTACACCCACTCAAAGTGAAATTCTCACTTTAGGAACTGGCTCTCAGCACTTGTAAAATACATTTCTCACTTTTTGTGCTCTTTAGTCTGGCAGAGGCAGCAGCGTACACTCAGTCCCAGTGAGAGGTCTGGGAAGCTGGCAGATCTCTCTCCAGCAATCTTTCTTTGTATCATACTCCAGCACACTCTTCACAACCACCTCCTGCCCGTTACTCCACCTTCTCCCTCCGAAAACCAGAAGATTCCCAGATGATATGGATACCATGCCGTAGTTGAAGGAGCCAGTGAGAAGCGGCTTGAGTCGCATCCAGTGATCTGACTGTGGATGGTATCGTTCAATATCACAGAAGGGTTCGTACATCCCCAGCAGTGCATAGATGTAGCCATGAGCAGTTGCCAAGCGATGACTGAACCTGGCGATGGACATGGATGCCCTCTTTTCCCAGACTCTGCCTTTAAGATCCCAGAAGAAGACCTCTCTGCTGCTCTCCCTGCTTTCATCCTGAGTGTAACTATAGTTACCCGGAACACCACCTGACACATAGATGCTGTTGTCAAGCACAGCAGAGGCGTGGCCGTAAAGTGTCTGAGGCATTGGTGGCCCTTTCCTCCATGCTCCTGTGGCCATATCATAAAACTCCACAGAAGCTACAGAGGCATGTGTGTTGGTGTCTGGTCGTGTGTGTCGTCCGCCCAAAGCATAAATAACATCCTCTACCACGCAGCAAGTGAACTGTGCTCTCCTGTCCAGCATGGACTCCACCTGCTCCCAGCAACTAAAGCGAGGATCGTACCGCCACACCTGATTGGATGTTGCTACAGTAACAAGCCTTTTCTCATCTTCATCTCCCTCTTTCACTTCATCTCCTCCAATCACAAAGAGGAAACCTCCCACTGAGCATACGCAGGGATTTCTCAGTCTCAGCGGAAGAACACAAGTCAAAGATGAAAACCTCCTCCTCTTTGGATCGAACGCCATCACCTGCTTTTCTGGCCAATCAGTGCTGGACCCACCACCCACAAGAAGCACGCAATTGGGTGATGCTCTAAGCGTTGTCTGCCGGCTCTGCCTGATGGGCTGAGTTGAACCGAGCCTGTGGTACTCGGATGCTCGTGTCAGCTGGCTCCTTATTAAAGGTGTGGCCATGGCTCTGTGGGCATGGCTGATATTTGTGAGGTCAGACGGGGGGACCAATCCAAAGCGCAAACGACTCAACAAAAGATTTGATTTCAGGAGTGGGAGGGGCCCGTTATCATCCAGCCAATCCAGAACCAGCTTTATGAGCTCCACCTCCTTAACACTAGGTATCTCATCAGCATCCAGAACCGCCAACAGTGATTCGATATTCAACGTCAGGAGATCGTCCCTGCTTTCTTGTATCAAGCTTCCCATCTCCATGGCAATGGTTTGATTGGCAGCCTCAAGTGCATTTGAGAGGGCGTGGCGCTCAGCCAGGTTAGCATAGTCACAGCAGTTCTTGGCATTTAAACCATCAGTCATGTAACGCTCGCATATCGCCACAGCTGTTTCCACCTGCAAGTACCTGCCTGTTTCCAGGACAACAGGAAGTGTGGAGGGTGAGATGCTGAGCCAACCTGAATACAGGAAGTCCAGAATGGCATCTAAGCCCTCTGGTGTTAGCGCAGGGAGGCTAATGGAGCCTGCTAATCTCTCTGCAGTAGTCTCTCCAAACAGGGCCCAAAAATAGTCACTGGAGCTGGCTAGAAGGGCGCGATGACAGGGAAAAGATATGCCGCCAGCCTGTAAGACAACATCACACATCTTCCTCTGTGAGCGAAGGCGCTGGAAGCCAGAGAGAAGTCCGGTTCTGTGGGAAGAACTGTAGAGGACAGAGTAGCTATCCATCCAAAAGACGGCAGACAAGAGAGTGGAAATGATGGAAGGAAGATAAGGAAACTTTTGAAAAAAGTGAAAGCAAGTTAAAGGAAAAAAGATTTGTCAGCAAGGAGCCAGGAAGCAACGGTGAAGAAACATTAAACACAGCAAGCACAGGAAAAGCTGAAGAGTGAAGTCAAAAAAAGAGGTTGCTGACAAGCCGGCACCAAAAAAGTGTAAAAAGAATTGGATATTAGTCGGAGAGCAAGAAGCAGGAAATGAGAGGCGCAGGAAAGAGTGAGTCTCCTTTGGCAAGCTTTCTCCATCTGTGTGTTTGTCCTTCTCTGCCTTCAGCAGAGAGCATGTGACACCATGATGCGGAGGTTAATAATGGCCCCCTGCAAACACAGACAATGCTACAGCCCGCCCCCTTTTTGGCACTTTAACATGAACCATCCCAAAGCCCTCATGTCTCTTGCCCTGATACCCCGGCTCTGTTGGTTTTGAGTTTGTCTGCTGCCCTTTTCTCCGTTTCCAAGAGGGAGTATCACCCATGAATCATACACACCAACCAACCAGCGAGCATGGAGATGCATGGATAAACACCCTGACCCCACACCCAAAGAGACCAAGAGGGAGCCTGGCAGGGCTTTAGTGTCTAACCCAGTGGATGAACTCATTGGTAAATACAGCTGCTACAGTCTGGGACCAAGATTCCAGGGCATGCCACCAATCTGCACTCTCATGGTGACAGGAATAGTAGCACAGACACAACTCGGCAGATGCGGCGCGAGGTAGATATCAAACCTGCGGAAGTTTTGCCAGGCTGTCAAAGATTTGTCAAGTGTCACAAGTACTTCATGACTTTTGGTATTAGAGTTATCCGTGCCCTTTTGGGAGGCATTTAACCTTTTTATGACCTGCAGTCTGTCAATATCACACAGATGGATGTCATGATATTATTTTTATGCAGAGATAGGAGGCGATGGTGAGCGTAAAGAATAGAGAGATAATGAAGCATCAGGCTACAAGTTAACTAATGTGTTTACTGTCATCTCATTAATGCTGAGCTATACTCCGCGGTGCCACTCTTTGTCTAATACACAAACAAATGCACATCAGTATGCAAACAGCACGTTATTGAACACTTTACAAGATCTTGCAGGGTACGTTTTGCTCTGAGTTATGATTGCTGTCTCTGAATAGATGCTGGCTCACGCTCTGAGGTGAGTGTGTATTTGTCTGCGTTGGTGTGTTTGTTTTATGGAAGGGTTACACCAGTTCAAAATTCAGCACACGGGCTACTCACAAAGAGAAAAAAAAACAGACTCACACCTTTTTTTCCTTTTTTTTTGTTTTTTTGAAGCTACAAAGTATTTTTAATCTTTCCCACATAGTGTCAGATTCTCCCATATGGTGGTTAAATCTACACCACTGTTTCTGAATATTCCACCGTGACCCGATGGAAGCTAAACTTAGCTACAGCTGCTGTGTGTGTATTTATCTGTCTTCAATAGGGCACAGTGATGTCAGGATGGATATGTAGTGAAATGCAGTGGTATGTGGCCCATTCAAACTGTAGGATTTGAAGGTTTAGGTCATGATTAAAGTGAGTCTGCATTGTCGTGCTCCTGAGTTCTACCTAAACCCCCTAAAAATTCCTATTACATATGCACATAATTCAAAAATAATTACAGCTGGAGATACCAGAGTTCATTCCCCCCCCTTCAGGCGCTGCAAGTAATGTGAAAACAACACTCCAGGCTACATTTTCCATCACAGTAAACGGGAAGTTTTAATTTGGTTTTGTCAGAGTTTCAGGTTGAGCAGACTATTTCTTTTTAAAATCAGTGTCACACTCTGTTTACTGCCAATCTCCTGACACCCACATGAAAAGACCAGAAGTCTCAGCCAGGATATAATCCATTTTAAATATGTCACCCTGAAAACTACTGTCATGTCCTGTCGGTGTGCTTAGGCAGTCTTTGTTAGTGAATATACACAAGCTGTCAACTCCACCAGGAAGATGATATTTTCTTCTAAAGGCCAAAGTCGCAAGACTAATGTCAAGTGCTAAGGTGACATACGCACATGGACAAGGCAAATCAGCAGTTACAAAGTGAACATACAAAAGAAACATTTCAAAATAGGATAACAAAGGTCATCAAGATTACGAGGTTATTAATGGTTAACCAATAAAAACCAGCAAGTCAATAAAAATATTTCTTTTTTTCTGGAACTGTGGTTCTCTGTGCTCTGTGCTTCTTTTGGGGTCCCCCTTTCTGTGATTGGTTCCCTACGGTCTCGCGCTTCCTTCATTCCCTGCTACGCCTCCATAACCTATTATGTCGATCAATTGTTCTCTTAATTCTTCAAACTTGGTTCAACCTATCATGTTCGGGACTCTCTAATCAAAAGAATTAGCCTAATTATTATTTATGTGTGTAAGCGTGTTTTTGCATTTACCCCTCCGTACTCTAAGCCATTCCTATAAGCTTTTGACCTCCACATGACTGAGTAGAAACTCCTATGAGCACGATTGCAATGTGTTTATAAACAATCATTTATACATATATAATCTTCAATGTTATTCACTTTGGTAAACAGCACTTTTGACACCCTTTTAAGAAGCTCTCTTCTTCTCTTATCTGATCACAAACATCCTGTACAAAAAAAAACTGTTATTTTGCAAGTGCAAAGTTTCCAAGCAAACTGTCTTAACGTCCTGTTATCTGTCTCTGCAAGCATTTTGTTTTTACATTGACCTTTTACTACACTCTGTCACCTTTCACTTATTCTACTAAAAAAAAAATCAAAGAGAAAACAAAACAAGCATTTTCAATCAATTAAGTTTAAGCATAAAAGCAATTACTTATGAGTAAGTTTTATCATAGCTAAATTATCAAACACCCAGAAAGTCCTAACATGATCATAAAGCCCCTTATTTCAACTTAAACCCCAAATCCCCCCTTCCTGACACACTTTATGTGTCACTAGCAAACACGCTAAAATGATCTGGTGGTTTTTCTATGCACTTAAAACACTTCATAAAAGTGTCATAATTTTTTTATTTCATCACAGTAACATTAAATTTATATCCATAAAACTTTAGTTGTGTATGATACATGGTTGCGCCTCACCATTTTAACAGTCACATTACATTTATACTCTCAAAGTCTATATTAGGACATGACATATTGGCCTAAACCCACTCAGCAATGGGCTAAAATTACCCTTTTTTTCATTTATCCAGCTTGTAGGTCTTTAGAAATCTCATTTCTTATTACACAGTCGGTTAACATTACAAACAACCCAAACAATACTGTAGCGTCGGCATCTATCAGTAATATTAAGACACTTGCACTCCTGTTGTCTTTTGCTATAACAGATGGAGGCATAAGTGATAAACCGAGTTTGGACAGGATTTTTAGAACCTTTTTGATTTATTGCAGTGTTTTTTCAAGACATTTTGGGAAACATCACAATAAACAACAAACGTATGATTATTTCTCCCCAAAAGCAGTACAGCTGACCTTAAACCCCACATACAACATTAGCAAAGGAAACATTTATTATTGTATCAATATAAAGTATCAATATAAATCAGTGGTGAACAGCTGAAGTGTCGCCACAGAGTTTATTTGTTGCTGAGATGGATTCCTCGAATTTATATTCATTGTCAATAAAATGTCCTTTTTAACCATCTACTTAACAGAAAAGCAGATAATATGCTAAACAGTATGTTGTAATTGTAACACAAGTCACTCACTTCTAAAAGTCCAGGTAAATGATATATTATCTGAAGCAAGACTGTCAAGAATATTTGAAATTGTTGTATAAATTATGATTTAATTGGAAAGATAAATAAATATTTCTGTTAAACTACTGATTGGAGGAGAGTTTATAAAAACTGAGGCATTAGTATCTCCAAACATGTTGGGATTGGGGTTGTATTTTGCCATTCTTCAGAGTCAGTGGGCAAGTCTGTGTCTATGAAGATTATCTGCTTTCCTCTCCGCCTGGCTGGAGAATCCTGGAAGAAAACAGGCAGATAAAGGCATGGTGAGAGATTTTCTTTGGCTGCTATCAGCCGTCTCAGAGCTGCCGACCTCTGACAGACTGTCTGTGACGTTCTAGACGATGAGGAGACGGCCAGTTTACTACTGGTAGCTGAAATATAGAAACATTCTCATGCGCAATTAGCGATGCTGACCCTTCAAAAAGCCTGCCTCATATTCTTGAAGTAATAAACAAGAAATCCATTTTTCCAAGTTTTGCTTTGATTTTTTGTCTTCAGCTAATGTTGGTCAGAGATTTGCTTCTCAGCTCTTGGCCAAAAGTACTTGGACAGCCATACTTTTCTCTACTTCACATCTGGGGTTCTGTTTTGTAAATTGACGCCCATTCGCTCCTGTAAAGGAAATTCATAATGCTGCTGTAAACAATGATAATTTAGTTAATAAAGTGATCCAACTCTGTGCCAGCAGTTTTGGGAAATTTCCGGCCTGTTTCAGCAAGGCAGTTTCCCCATGCATGAAGCCAGATTCATAAATAAAAGCATTTGCCAGTTTTGAGTGGAACTTCGTGTCCACAGTCCTGTCCAATGCTTTTTGCACAGAGCAAATCCCTGCAGGCAGCTTCCAAAATCTTGTGGAAAACCTTTCGCCAAAGAGCCTAGGCAGTTTTAGCAGCAGATTAATATCCACAACTCTGGGAAAAAATGGTAAACAAACACAGATGGGTTTGACTTTCAGGTGAACACTGGAATGAAAATTGCTAGAGGTGCTGTATCTGTGTCTCCATAGTGTGTTCTTTATAAACTGCATAAAGAACTGATAAACAATAATAACAATAATCATGATAACAGATGTATGAGGATAGTGTTTATATAGTTTATGTAGATGCAAGCTAATAAATATCGATAAACTTCTATTATGAAACCAGTTTAAATTTACATTCTTTTTCTTTTTCCCTTGTGCAGAATACTAAACAGCTAGTACGTGGCTGCTGTTGTTGTTGCTGTTTGGAATAATTTTCCATGTTAAAACTTAAACCAGCTTCTGCTTTTGTTATTCCATCTCTTCTCTCCCTCATTTAGAACACCCACACAGCACACCCACGTGGCTTGGGCTGGGCACAGCAGCCGCAGTGCTTGGATATTGTGGTTTCTGTGTCCCGCTGAGAAAGTTGCAGCACAGACTGCCACTCAGCGCTCACACTCATTTTCTAAAACACACACACACCCATAAAGTATAAATATAGCATCTGACTCAACCTGTCCAGCCCCCACACACACAGAGGCATCAACACACACGATGCTTGACCCAAACAAAGGCTGAGCGGCCCACACTGACTCCATGTGGTGAACTGCAACTACTGCAAGTAATTATTGCGTATCCTCACCAGCACCATACAAATAGCACACATTTACAGAGATATGAGTAGACCAATTTGAGTATCCGGTTAGGGTACGATGTAAAAGATATACAATAGCACCATTTGTTCTCTTACCATGCATCAAAGAGACATTCTTTAGCTAATATCAGTGTGTGCAAAGTTGAGGTAAAAAAGTAAAAATAAAAATAAAGCAGCGCTAAATATTTATTAAAAGACACTATATCACAGACTGTAATTGTTTCAAGATGCCAGTGTGACTTTTTAACTCTACATATCTTTGCTCTAGACAAAGATGTGTTTGATATTCTTACAGGTGTCTCTCGTGGTCATTCATGAACTCTTCAAACAGTTTGGAGACATTGTCAACTCTGCACATAACCCTTCTTACATAGTGGTTATATAGTGAGGATTCTCATATTAAACACGGTCAGAGTTTCAAGTAGTAAGGGTCAGCATGAGTCCAAGTAAGCTCAGGCTTCAAACTGCTCTAAACAGTTGGCCTCCAGCTGTTTTTTTTCCTGCTCTTGGCCCTTTGTGATGTTAGTGAGAGTGGATCTCCCTAATATGGTTACCTCAGGCACATAGCTCCCATCCACCTGCTCCAACTGTGAAAGTTTGTTCACTGCTTATCCATTCTTTAATTAGCCGCAGTGACCTACAGCTGGCTACACTAGGAGGAGGTTAAAAAAGCGGGGATTAAACCCTAGAAACCCGAACTGCTTCAAGGAGAAGTATTTTGTTTAAAAACAAATCTCAGAATGCAGCTCAACTTTCAGCTAGGCTAATGCTAAAAGATGAAGATGTATAAAAAGCTATGTAGACAAGTGAATAGCTGAAGGTGTAATTAGCTTTATGTTGCTGAAATGATGTGTTGTATTAATATTCAGGCTGAATGGCTTGTGACCACTGTTTCATGGAAGACAAATAGCGTATTTAAATTTAACTAAGCAACTCTTGTAAGCTGATTTTAATATGGTAAAAGTGACCATGAGCACTTGGCAACTGCAGAAAAGCATTATGCTATACGTAACTCTGTATCCAGTGTTTTCAGGCCAGTCAGCATTTCAGAAAATTTCCCTCACCTATTAAAAGGGACGCTGTTTTATAGAGCTTGTGATTAAAAGACTAAATCCACTGTTTTATACCACAATTGCAAGGTAATGAGCATAATATTTACCAAATGGAAACAATCTCCTATCATCTTCATTTTTGTGGATGTTTGCGTTTTTCACTCTCATCTTCTGGGTCAGATTCTCAGAAGCTGCTGATTCAAGACTGCTTAATTATGTTTTCTAGGAGGTTTACAGTTTGTTTTATGACTCTACAAGAAGTAACTTTTGTTTGCAGAAACAAAGGCAGCCAAGTGCTGACTTCAAGGAAAGGTGGCATTAAAGGAAGAGGACAGTGGATTAACTGAGGAGTTGCACCAAGACAGATGTAAACCTACTCTGGTAGAGTCCAAGAATAAAAGTACAGAGCTAGAAATGAGGTCAAGTTTACCCTAACTTGCAAAACCACACTCAGTAACACTTTCAGATAGCCTCAATAAAACTGAATATTAAAACCCCAATGAATGTAGGATTTACTGCAAGACTTAGTTTTACCTAGATGTACCAAACAAAACAGTCTACTTCTATTAGATCTAATTCCGAAAGGATTGTACAAAGAAATCTTACCAATAATTGATGCATTCAAGGTAGCTGTAATGAAACCACTACTGTAAAAAGCCTTTACTTGACCCAGCTGTCTTTGTTAATTATCTCCAACCTTCCTTATTTCAAAAATTCTTAAATTGCAGTCCTGTGAGACCTCAGTGCAGCATTTGATACAGTATCACTGACCACAGTATTTTACTACCGAGATTAGGATATGTTAAAGGAAATGTACTGTCTTCACAAACGAAAGGGAATTTTGGAGTTCCACAGGGTCCTGTGCTGGGTCCAGTATCATTTATCAAACACGCTTCCCTTAGGCAATATTTTACAAGGCTGTTTTCTTGTATTATTTAAGATTTAGGACCTTGCATAATCTAATCAGAAACAATTTGTCTCAGAGTGATACTGAAAAGCTAGTTCACAAATTAATTTGTAGATTGTTTTAAAATTTACCTGAAAAGACATTTGTTAATCCAAAACACTAAGGAGAGTACTGACAAGGACACGTATATTTCTCCTACATTAGCTTATCTTCATTAAATTGCAGTCAAATTTAAAATCATTATCCTTACATACAAAATCTTCAATGATCCCATCATATCTTAAACACCTCCTAGTACCATATTATCCTAACAGAGCACTTTACAGGCTTGCTTATAGTTTTAAAAGTAGAATGGGAGGCAGAGCCTTCAGCTTCCAGGACTCTCTTCTAAGGGAATCAGTTCCTAGTTTGGATTTGGGAGACAGACATCCTCTCTACTTCTAAAAATAGACTAAAAACTTTACTTTTGATAAAGCTTATTGTTAGGGCTGGATCTGAGCCACTACTGCTGCTGTGGGACTTTGTGTGGTGGACTGAGCACTTCTTCTCTCACCTTATTTCACTCCCCACATGTTTACATACCGCTGCAGTGTGTCAGAGTTTTGTCTTCTCTCTCTCTCTCAGCTTGTGTTTTCTCCTGTCTGCCTTTGCTTTTTTCTTTCCCCTCAGTCAACAACCAGTCACAGCAGATGACTGAGCCCGTTTGTATTGCAGGTTTCTTCCTGTTCAAAGGGAGTTTTTCCTTCACAGCTTCACAAAGTGCTTACTCGTAGGATTTTATGTTGGGTTTTCTCCAGAAATTTGTATAGTCTCTTCCTCCTATACAAAATGCATTGAGGTGACAGTTGTTGCAATTTAGTGTTATATAAATAAACTTGAATTAAATGAAAAAATCTGAATTGGACAGGAATTGTAGACATGTCTCACATGTTAACTGTGGAGGACTTTAACCTTAGTATTCTTCACTTTTTCTCAGTAACATCAAACACAGTATGCTTCTCTGTCTTTATATGTACACTTTTGTACATACATGTACACGTTTGTCACGTTAGCAAATGATTGACTTTTTTCTTGCACTCAAACTGGATTTGCATCCTCCACAAAGTATTTGCAGTATTTGTGCTTCCTTTCAGTAGTTTGGTTGCGATTTGCATCTTTTAGTCTGGACTTTATAAACCCAGCCTATCTACATCACGCATCACACAAAAGACCTGCATTAAATATCAAATATTAAAATAAGCAGCTGTTACATAGTATCGATGGAAACTTTAGTGCTGTCAGGAAAGGGTTCTGATAAGTACGCATATTACCAGGTAAGGGACAAGTAGAAATTGTATAAATGGCCCCTATTTTGAATTTAAGCTCCTTATAACTCAATGCACAACCATACTTGCAAGCGTGATTGAAATCAAACTTTTTACTGTTTTTAGGTACTGTGTACCTACTCAAAAACTAAAGCTACAATACTATTGGTACTGCATTTTATTTAAAATATAGTTTTAGTGTTTTTCTTCCTGGTTTTGGAATTCTTCCTTTTAAAGATTACATTAAAAATTTAACTTTATGGAAGTTTAGAGATTAACTTGCACATCCTATATAATATTTTTAGAAAATAATTTTCCTTTTTATAGTGTATTGATGAAGTTTTATTTTCTTTGGAATCTTGCAAAAATGAAGGGAACTACAATCAAACCTACATGTTACTCCTTGGTGACCCATCGTAGTTCACTCTTGGCGTTTTGTATCTCTGAAAGGTTAACAGCAGGCCCAGGTAGCTTCACTGCTCCTGGCAATTTCTTCTCCTCTGGTGACTGGGCTGCAGCGCTTGGAGGTGAAGGATCCTGATTTAAAAAAATAAATTGTGTGTGAGGTGATGGCAGCATTGCTTTTACCTATATTTAAAGAGAAACTTCATCATCTTATAAAGGGACAGATTGCAATGGAAGCTGCTGCTTAAGTTGCCTATTCATAACAATGTGAGCTTTTAGGAAAGGCCTTAAAGAGACAGCAGCAAAAACTACCTGTGTCCGCTAGAGTATAAACTGAAGAGTCTCATAGAAGGCCAATATAAGATAAGTAAAATAAGAATGAAAAGGTGTAGCTAGAAAGTAGCTTTCTAGTTCCTTTTTAATGTCAATTAAATGCAGTTCTCAGGAAATTAATTTTGTAGTTTTTTGTTATATCTTATATTATACTATATTGTGTTATAAAGTGATCACAAAATAAAATCTGCTTAGAATAAGTAAACAAAGTTAAGGAAATGTTTCTTTTATTGCCATGCCACACACTACAGCATTTATAGCCCAAGTAAATTTGCAAAGCTATTCCCTAGATTGGCCTTTTAAATATGTAAAACTCAGCAACACGTACACAGTAGTTAGTAAGAAATGCTAATTGTACAATAAAAGCTTACATTAGAAGCACAAAAGTGGAATAGAGCCAAACTAGGAAATGTCTGAGTTTATTTTTTTAGTTTTCAAGACGATATTAGCATACATTTGTATCCATATTCAGCTCATTTGGGTCAGGAAAATTCAAGTTGTAAATATATGCAGATCCCTGAGGTGGTCATGCGTATGTTGAATTTACAATTTAAATGTGACCACATTGTGGGGGAAAAAAAGCATCAGCTCCACAAGCTGGCACAAGCTGTGTCTGTCTTGCCCACTGGCATTAAGGTGTGGGTAGAGTGGGGATGAGGAAAATGCAGACCAGTGGACTGGGTGTGAAATGTGTTATCTCACCTCTTCTGTTTCTACTGTGTCCTCTCTCCTCTTGACAGGAAGTCCCGCCCCTGGACGCAGAGCTCCCATCGGGATGTTCAAATTAGCCTGAATGACAGCAAAAACAGCCAATGAGACCCTTTCAACACTTGATACTCAACTGTCTGCGGTGTGTGTGTGTGTGTGTGTGTGTGCGTGCGTGCGTGCGTGCGTGCGTGCGTGCGTGCAGGCTTCTGCTGTTTCCTCAAAACCCAATGTTTTGATTATGACCACTGCTTCCTTGTTATCATCATGTCCCTAAAAAGAGACTTGTGTTTTTATGAAAATTGGGAGAGACATGCTTAAACATAGACAGACAGACAGACGACAGACAGACAGACACACACACACACACACACACAGATAAGAACGATCTACCTGCTAACTCGATGTTTTACTGCTGCCTGCCCCAACGTCCAACCACCTGGATTTGATGTGTTTTGTATTTGTACTGTAATGTATTGTATATAAGCTCACATTGTACAGCTGTACAGAGTGGGAGTGTGATGTGTGTTAACGATGTCTGTGGATGTTGTTCTATGAAAGAGTTATATATTTTACAGACGTTAAGGTTTTGAGATTGGTGAGGGAAGGTAAATCGCCTCATTCGCAGCATGTTTGCTGATATGTTTGTATCACTGTAACGTTGCTTTGGCTGGAATCGTTTGTTGTCTTTATGCTTGGCGTGCCGTCAGCATTCATGTCCTTGCACACCACTGGCACAACCCAAAGATTAAAGGAATATTTCACCCCAGAATGAAAATTCAGTCATTGCGCTTCAAAATCCATTTTCAAGAAAACAAAACCACATGCTGTAATTCAATCTGAGCCTCCCATGCATAGGAAGAAAATGTTTATTGCAGCTCAGGCTTTTATTTTTCCACCAGCCATTAAAAGATCATGAACTTTGAGAGCAAACCAGTAGATTTACCTGATTTATTTGGATACGAAAATGCCCAGTTGATCCCCATAAACCATCTCAGTTTCAGTTTATCTTTGTAGTTATGTAGTTTTGTTTATGTATTTGACAACAATAATTTTAAATGTCCACTAGTATCAGCTTTTCCCCCCTGACTTCCTGTGACAATAAACTTAACAGGTTTAGACATTTGGGCAAAGCAGACCGAGCATACATATCTCAGTAACCTGATTTTCTCTCAAATTTTTAAAGAAAAACAACAAAACTATTAAAACTATTAATGATTCAAGTAAGTTACTCCCAGTAATTTGACGAAAGAAAGTAATACAACATGAAGTGACATAAAGTCAGCCAACTAGACTGAGCTCCATAACATGGGGACTGAAATTTTAAGGCATTTGCCACATTTGGCCAGCTGGAAAATCATTATAGAAACTCACGTTTAACTTTTACGATTAATGAATTGAGGTTTAGATTAACATGAATTAAATATTTATCTGATTGCAAAGTTAAGTATACAGAGTTCTAAGTTTAGAAAACATGTGATTTGGCATATTCTCTTTTGTTCAATACCTCTTCAGTACAGCACAGAAACACATGCAAGATATAATATAACACTTAAACAGCTGATTAAGAGGTTAAGTCTGTGTTTTAACCTCATATGATGTTTCCCTGTGCATGTACAAGTCTTTCATTCATTCCTCATAAAGTTTACATCCAAGATATTTTCTACTCATCATTTTAATAATTCTAATCGTCTTAGCAATAACCAGGCAAGAAAACACTGGTAAATTCCACATTTTGTAGGGGCACAGCTGTTGCATAAAGTAGAGTGTATGTGTGAACTTTCGCCAAACAGCTTATGCAACACACGTCAGACCATTTTTTATCTAAATAACAGCACCAACGCTCCAAACCTCTACTTATTTATCACCATTAACCTTGTTGCTAACCACATCCACATATACAGTATGTGAAGTAGAAGTGTGAGAGAAGCTGTCTGAGACGATACCCTATAAAGTCAACACTAGCTGTGAGTCTGGGAAGAGGCTGAGACTGAACTACAGTATACCTCCGCATTTTGATTGATTCTGTTAATGTTTTTTGAAGGTGAACTAATCCTTTAAGCTTGCCTGCTGACTAGCTGTTGTTATAACTTTATGTGAACATGAAAGAAAAGCCTAGACAAGAAGAAAGACCTCAGTATCTGACAGGTAAATGGAAGAAAAACAGACTCACAGACTAATCCTGTTGAGAGAAAAACAAACAAACATACAAATAAGCTCAATAGCCAGACTTCTTGTTACTTCCACATTCTAGTACCATTATGTCTGTATTATATAGGAATATGTTAAACTGAATTACCAAGCCGAGTTTAAGACTTGAACTACAGATTTGATTTAATTTACTTGACTGTCAACTGTTTTCAAAAGCTTAACAACTGAATTCCCTCAGACAGCCTCTGGTTTCCATTTCTTGCGTATGTGTTTTTAAAGTTGCTTTCTTAGTCAAACTGTTGCTGCTCTCTGAAGCAGCTGTAAACAGAGCCTGTTGTGAAAACCTGCTTTTACTGATGCTCAGCTGACTTAGTACTTTACCCCTATAATATTCTCGCATTTATGCTGGCCTTTCTGATTCCACATCATCTTCTTCCTTTTACATGGTTGCTAATGCTCCTGAATCTCTGGCAACCTGTGAGGTTGAAATATTAGGGCAACATGGAAAACGAAGGTGCCAAAGCCACTTGAGGGTGGCTTCAAAGGTGATTCATTCCCTCATAGAGTTACATGTTTAACATGGTCAACTTTAGAGCACTAATAAACATTTGCACCCTGGTATAGAAAACTCCTGTAGTGTTTTGGGTCTTTCGAGCTAATTCATCCATTCATAAGAGCTGTACAGAGTTTTTTTATTTGTTTGTTTCTTTTTTCAAGTAATTCTAATATTACAGGTATAGGTAGCATGCCAGTCATAGATAGGCAACCAGATGCTTTCTGCAAGGCTGATCTCCATTAATTTAAGTCATGACAAGGACCTGTCCACTTTATTAGTGTTGTCGGTGCCTTCAAAGCATTTTAATTTAATAATGTGGTCCACTGTGTGCGGTACAACAAATCTGTTTGGTGAGTGAAATCTTAGTACTTATTAGTCTTTTATTTAACAATAATTAGCAGGTAAGTATGTCTGTGTACAGCTTATGAGGGAAGTTTGCTTTTGAGGCATTTTGTAATGTAGATATCTAACAAATATTATGGTTTGCTATGTGGTTTATCTATTAATGGCCAATTACAAAAATGTCTTTGTCCCACTTTTTGTTAAGTTAAATTCTAGTGCTATATTTGTATTTTACTTGTATGCACCAGTACAGCCTATGGTTGCAGCTTGAAGGGTGCAAATGGTTCTCTATAACCATGTCTACCAAGGCATTTGTCATTATCACGCTTCTTCTGTAACAATGCAAAATTTCCCTATGGGTTCATTTTAAATGTCTTTATTAAAAAAAAACACAGAACATGTTTAATTTACAACCTTTTATCCTTATTTGCAAACTGATTTTGACTACATTGACTTTGTATAACCATCATCTTTACATGACTATCGTCCATGCATGTGTTGGCTCTTCCCAAGATCTTTGCTCCTTGACATTGAATTGGCAACAGGTTGCAAATAGACATCCTGAAAGTTCTAGACTTGTCTTACAGACTAAGAGGAGGCTAAGGACAAAAGTTTAATTAAAAAAGAAAAGAAAAAAACCCTAAATGCAGAAAATCATCATCTGATGGAATATTAAAGGGTATTTAGGCAATAATTAATAAATGGAAAACAATAGCTGTCTGCAACCATCTTTTGAAAATGTTTGAAGCTAAAGCAATTAAAAGATTTGTTATTGATGAGCTAAAACGTGCAAAGCTGCTGACACTGAAGTATAAAGAGGTTTTTATCATCCAAATATTTATAATGTGAAGTCGCATTGCTTTTTTTCTTTGTGATAAAGTGATGATGGACTCTTTGGTGGAAACTGAACTGTGAACCTCATGGTTGTACTGTTAATAAAAAAAGAAACTCTGTTCTGATGCCTATCCCATGGTTAGACGTGAAAATGAGCACAATGAGAAGTGAGCTGATGGAGGAAACACACAGAAAGCCACCAACACTAAGAAACTGCTCTGCATATGTTCGCCTTGCTAAAACCCTGCACTAACAACGCCTTGATAATGTATATGCACAGTTTAAACTCAGCATTTGCCTTCATGAATAAATACTTTAATGTGGAAACCTGACTTTGTCTTTATTGAGGAGCAGGAAGAGTTACTGTGCATTTCAGTTGTCTTCTATTCTGCCTTTACTTTTGTAAAGTTAATAGCATGCAGGAGGTAACACACAACCTTTTGAAGACACATCCACCTTACTGTGCACACAGATGGAAAAAAACAAACTTTTACCTGAAGGGCCTTAACGTTGGTCGAAGGTTTGGACATAATCCACCTGGTGAGTCCGCTGACCTGCAGGAAGCATAGATCACAGACATTCAGGTGTGTTGGATCTTTGTTCTGTGTACTTGTGAGCGTGTGTATGCATGTTGGGGGCACTGGTACTCAGTTCCTGTGGTTTTCACAGCCTGGGATACCATTTCAGTTGCTTAGCGACTCTTGGGGAGTTAAGCAGGCAGAGGAACTGTTCTCTGAATCATTCATGAGAGGGAGACAGAGTGACTGCCAGTATAAAAGTACCTCAATTTCACTTTTGGGATGACTTTTGCATTGATGTAAAGGTAAAATAGAACAAAAAGGCAAAATAGAAAAATTTCTACTACTACTGTCAAATTTCTTCTTGGAGATTCTGTAGTTTGGTAATGTAACACGGTACACAGCAGTGTGAATGATAAATGTCACTTTTGTACAGTTTTTATTGCTATAAAGTTGTAGCTGAAGAGGGCAACTCTTCAAAATTCCAGTGTGCTGCTTCACCACCTTTACTGCTATGAACTTTTTTCAGCCAAATGTATTCATATCACAACACGAGCAGAACCTACGACAGAAACGGCTGTTTTACCGGGGCAAGCAAGGCACGTATTGGTTATTTAGTGCAATCTAAAAATAGACATCAATTAAAGTGTAGGAAATTGAAAGCAATCTTGCTCCTTTCATCTCAAACAATGTTGTGTGTTATAAGCTTATCTTATTGTGTGTTTCCACTATCTTTTCAATTACTGCCATGTGTGGCCATAGCTGTCACTGCGTCTGTAGTGGCTGGATTAACTCTAACTCATTCTTACAGTCAAGAAAGCTGCACCCCACTTAAAAACCAAAAATTCCCATTGGTGCCACCAAATTGTTTGCGAAGTGGTAAAGCCAACGTGTGACCCACTTGACACTGCGACATAGACTGCAATATAGAGTGGTAAGTTTAGGTAAGAGTAGTGAGTAATATAAAAAACTAACCAGCACCTACCAGTTTTAATATAAAATTCTTTATTCATATAAAAATTGAAATAAAAATCACTTTTATATAAATGAATAAAAATATGGAAATATGAAATTGTACACATGGAGTAATTTCAAATTGAATCTTTATTACTGCAACCCATACAGTACCTTCCTGGCCCATTAGGGGCTGACTTTTTTGGAATCTCTGCTCTAGGACATGGACATCTTCATGGACATGTCCATGTCCTGTTAACAAGGATTAACTAAAACAAATGCTAAAAACAATGTATGTCTATATCCTAATCAGTTAAACTGAAATTAAGACAAATCAAAAAGTCTAAAAGGAAGAAAATAGCCTGAATGTGGTTAACACTAGCAGTGGGTTTTTATCCCATGTAGGTCAATTGTAATTGGTTCACTAATATCTCATGTCCTCCAAAGTTGACTGACTCCTATAAGAAAAAACAGAGAAGTCACTAAAGCCTGTTTAGATGGGGTGAAACTGAGCACTCTGGTAATCTAGGAAGTGAAGCGTACTAGTGCATGTTTAATGTTGTATAAGGGAGTATTTTAACCCAGATGATGGTTTTCCAAACCAAATATGGTTGAGATTAGTAGTAAGCTAAACCAAAATTTCTTAACCCAACCAAACAGCAATTAAAAATAAAACTTTAGTCTCCTTGTCAAAGGTCAAAAATCTGTCTTTGTTTCCTCCACCTAACAATCATTCGTTCTTGAAGTAGAAACATGTCTGTGTGTCTTTTAAGGATCACTTACATGGGTCTTTTCAAATGGAACAAAAGTGTCTCTCACCACTTTGCAGTTATTTTTTACTTGCTCCCCTCCTTTTAACTATAAATAAACTACAAATCCACTCCAAGCAACAAGTGGTTAACTATCATTAAAGTTTCCACGGCCTATTTATCTTATCTCCTAGTAGCTACGAGGGCCAGATGTCGACTGGTTTCTCCAATGTCCTTGGTACAACAAAACGAAAGAAGGAAAAAGTTTTTCTGCCCTTGTGAGTAAAAACATGGACCCCGCTGAAATACACAGTACACACATTTCCACTACGTGATGATATTAATGTTGGCTGCCCGTAGCAGCCGCCTCAGTGACGCCACACTGCAGAGTCTGAAAAGCCCTTTCACTTTGCACACTCATGTCTGTCATGCAACCAGGCAAAGAGGCACAGGTGAATATATTATTTATGCTTTCAGGTTTTTTAAACCAGATGCAACACAGTGGTATGCCAGTTTATTTCATGAAACCTGTGAAAAAGTCTGTATGCCTGCATGTTGTTGCTTGAACATCAATAAAACTTTAAAGAGGTGCAGCTGTGCATATAGGTTTGTCTCACTTTGATTACAGATATGAAACACAAGAACAGTTTCAAACTCATGTGTGAAATACCAACATAAATAATGCATAAAACAATTCATTCTAACTTTAAATAAAATTCTTTCCTTTCTTGCCAAGAGTGTAACAGAAAGATCAAAGCCGCTCCTAAATCTGTACGCTTAATATTTAATAGGAGATGATTGGCTTAGCATAAAGTCTGATTCTGCAAGGTGAAAACATTTTGAGGTTTCAAGGACTTTAGACTTTCATGGCTGGAAACCTAAGAATTTCCAGTGATTGCTAAGGTAGGCTGACCTTGGGACACTGTCACTGTATCTTGCATCCCATTCAAATCCTTCAAATCCTCCTCTTTCTCCAAATAATGAATCACATAAGGTCATTTTATTTCCCAAGTTGCTGGCTGTTGATTTATTAAGAATAAATGCAGTACATCAATTGCTGAATAACCAAACTCAATAAAGAATTTGGCTTAAATTTTTCCCTGCCATACTCTGAGTTCTCCTTAGAAACTTACATAATAATCCTTTAAAAAGCCACAGAAAGCTGAATGACTTTGACAGTAATGCCATCAACTGTCATGCCAATAAAAACACAGCACATAGACATAACATTATGTAAAGGAGACTGAACTTACCAGTCGATGAAACAACTCTTTCTTCTGATGCTTGCTTTTTTACACCCACTGCTCTTGTTTATTTGACTCCTCACGCACTATTTGCCTGTCTTCTCTCCATCTCTTTCTCTTCCTTTCTTTTCTCTCCTTCTCCCTCTCCCTCTTTCACACTCACTAACTCTCTCTCTTTGCCTTGTAAGTGGTAGGAGGATTCCTCTCATATCTGGGATTTGTTCTCACTATAAATAGACGAGTGATACACAGAAGGGACCTGCTTTCTATCTATGCTCACATGGACACACGCAGCGACGGACCAAAACACAGTCAAACAGACGCACTGAGCACTGGAAACAGCTTAATTTGCATAGATTTTAAAGGGTTCTTTTTTTAAAACTACATTTACAAGATTAGTCAGGAGCAGCAAAACACATTTAACTCCAAGACCATAGTGACTTTAACACTTTTTACATGTATTAATTCATAATCCACACTCATTTTAAAACTCTTCAAATAAGATCCAAAAGTTTTTAAAATTTTTAAATGCAGACCACTGAAATGCAGCACCGTCTGCATATATGATGTTTACATATTTTTAAGCTACAGTGAGATCTTTGTAAACTTAAAAAAGACGATTTTTCTCGTACCTGACTGGGCCAAACACCATTTAAAAATCTGATGCTTTAACCATGAACCAATCAAACACAATGTTGCCAGCTTCTGTTATGGCTGCTTTTATGATATTTGCTGATGCAAACATTTACTTAAGTTATATTTACAGGGAAATAATGCGAAATAGATATGTACCTTCAGGGCATTTCAGCTCTCATATATTGTAATGTTCTGATTGACAAAAAATAAGGGACTCACGTTAGGACCAAACTTAATTTTAAAAAATTACGATCCAGCTTGTCTGCCAATGTAATTCAATCTCATTCAGCAATATTTATGATGACTTGATCCCTAATTTCAAATTGCTTTTAAGGTTTTAAACAATTGCAGAAAAATGCTCCAGTTAAGAATGAACCATGAAACTGTCTGCTAGATTAAGTGAGGTCACTGATTTAAGCATTTGGATTTTTTTTTAATCTACTCATGTAGCAAAATGTTCCAAAGAGTAAAATAATTTCACTGCAGCTTCATTCAGAAAATAAAACATTTTACTCATGAAACTCAAATCTATCTGTTTATATGGCATTCAGAGATGAGATGCATGGTAATTTTTAGCTCTTCATCAAACCCTGACACTTGAGTCCCGAAAACACCCTTTCCTAATCTCAGTGACTAAAATGGGACTGGCCTATTTCTACCCCGACGCACACAAAGACACAGAAAGAAGCAGTCATGCTGGTATATCTGCGTTTATACACTGATGTACAACCAGAAGCCCAGAGGAGACCTGTGATCCCACAGAGTTAAAGGTGCGCATGTGGCTATGAATGAGTGTGTGCTTTCTTACCTCCTGGTGTGCGTAGCTGCTCTGCCTTGCCTGTGCGCTCTCTGAGGTCCTCTTCGGCTACCTGACCTGTTTCCGCTTGTCCTGATTGGCTTGCGAGACAGAAAACTCCTCCCAGAGTGGAACCCGACCCAGCATCAGAGAAGTAAAATGAGTTTCAGCCTCTGTGCGTCTGTGTGTGTGTTTGTCTTTATTACATTGTGGGGACAAGGACCTGTTAGCACAGTCATGGGGTGGGAACCAGAATAAGTATGGGGACCAAAGAAAATAACTTTTATATTTAATCAAATTTTTAATTACAAAATACCTGACAAGTTCCCAGAATGCAGTTTCTAGTCTGGTCTAATTTTTCAGTGCTTTACAACCAGCAGAAAAGTTAGATCCCACGATGCATGTTTTGGACAGGTGGCCCTATAATGTAACAAAGACAAGGATAGGTGTGTGTGTGTGTGTGTGTGTCTGTGTGTGTGTTTATGTGTGTGCACTTCTGTATGTTTGAAGTCATTATGACACATTCAACCTACCTTTCTCTCTGGATGTGTTCTTCAAATGAGGCTGTTCACATTTATTGCAGCAAAGCACAGCGATCGTCAGGCTTGTTACACTGACCTGTTGTGTCCCTGGGTAGTAAAATGAAGAAGCTCAAACTGAAAGCTTGTTATATATTTCAAACTATGCAAATGCAACCCACACACACAGGTCTCAACTGTTGGGAAGGACCGTCCTGGTCTATTATAGATAAACACTTTCATCACTGAATGTGTTTATTGTGTTGTTGCAGAGATCGGGTTGGTGGAGCCCAGAGGAGGGAAAATCCAAGGCATAACATTTCTCGACATGATCTGATTAATTGCAAATTGGCTGTATAAAGTACAAAGATCAAACATGACTGAATCTTGTGGTGCAGGAGAAAGTCAAAGAACTTTTTATGGATATGTAATGATGAGGTTTTTGTCAAGTTGTTTTTTCTGCCTTGATAGAGCAGTCTGTAAAAGGTTCTACAGTATTGTGAAAAAGAAAGTAGACCTAAAGGATTTAAAAGCTTGCTGAGAATTTTGGCCCACTAGTTTTTACAGTGTTGTTTCAGTTGATTGGGGTTTGTTGGGATTTGTTTATGCACAACTCTCTTAATAGTCACCACAGCATTTCATTCGGGTTGTATTCTGAACTTTGACTGAGCCACTGGAACACCTCGATTCTTTTCTTTCTCAGCCATTCTGTTATAGGTTTGCTGCTATGCTTCGGGACTGTTGAACTGTTGCATGAACCAGTTTCAGCCAAGCTGTGCCAGCAGTACTGCTACAGCTTGGCACATTTGAGTCTAGAATACATTAATTTTCGATTCAGTTGGTACAAGATGCCCAGTTCCTTTGGTTGAGACAAAACCCCGTATCATCACCCTTCCACAACTGTGCTTGTCAGATGAGGCGGTCGTGCTGATATACTGTGTTTGGTTTTCACCAAACGTGGTGCTGTGCATTATGGAAAAATATCTCCACTTCATTCAAAGGACATTTGAAATCTGGTGGTTTGTTGTAAACACAACCTTGCAACCAAGTCATGCAGGTTTGTTATTTTTCAAAGTTCTTCTGCTTTTATAGATGTGCTTAAACTTGCTGATGATCAGTTAATCGAATGCATTTGATTAGCAGCTTCTGGCTGCTACTTACGCACTCAATTCCTCTGGATTGTACTTAGTTTTCCAAAGAACTGCATGGAGTCCTGAGAAAATATTCTTTTGCACAAATCTATAATTGAAAGACTTTGAGTATTATTATAGAAAAAACAACTAGTAGCAGAGCACTGGGGTCATATTTCCTTTTTGTGTTGTAATTTTAGTTTCCGGATTTTTTATTTTGGAGCTGGTCCAGCCAGTCACTAGTCGCAAGTCCCTCACTTTTAAACTTTTGACCAGCCACATGCTTATGAAGGCCATTAAGCTCAACACGGCAATATAAAAGCAAGATGGCACACACT